AACTATTTTATCGATTTTATACATTCATTGGATTATGTTATACGAGATATTAAATTATCGTGTCACAATGTTAGTTACCAAATTCCTACGAAACAGCTTGCCCGATTTTTATGATATTTTATGTGCATATTGAGTAGGTCTGGGAATCAACTACTATTTTTTTTAATCCCCCGCAGACGGAATCGCGGCCGAAAGCTAGTTAATCTTACTAATATTATAAATGCATATGTTTAGATGAAGAGCGTCGGTGGCTCAGAAGTCAAGCACTTGACTTGCTATCTGCAGGTCCTGGGTTCGAATCCCGCCATGTAACAATGTGTTTTTCGATTTCCGATTAACAAATGTACATTTATCCGACGTTCTTACGGCGAAGGAAAACATCGTGATGCAACCTGCACATATCTGAGAAGAAATTCAAAGATAGATAAAGGTAGAAGAAGTCAACCAATCCGCACTTGGCCAGCGTGGTTGACTATGGCCTAATCACCCTTAACTTAGGGTAGGCTCCGAGCCCTTCGGTGGGGACGTATAGGGAGCTGATGATGATGATGTTTAGAAGGATGGATGTTTGTTGGAAGGTGTCTCCAGATCCGCCAAACGGATCTCGATGAAATTTGGCATACACATAGAACATAGTCTGGAAGAACACATTGGCTACTAATTATGTTTTTCTTTTAATCCGCGCAGACAGAGTCGTGGGCGACAGTTAGTTTATAAATAAAATTTGATCCTTGGAAAAAGCGATGTAAAATAACAAAGAAATAGCTTATAGTAATTGTGCTTTTCGCGTTGTAAAGGATTATTGTAGCTTGTTAGTTTGTTAAATGATTCGTGCGGTCGCGGAAATATTCCTTTGATGCTTATACTGTCCGTTTGAGAGTTAATGGTGTGTACTTTGATTGGTTTCAAATAAAGCAAAAGGCGAATTGGTGCTGTAGCTATTGATTTCACTTTGAGACTTGTGATACTTTTATTGCTTACTATGATTTTTAATAAAATACTAACCGACGACCGTAACTCCGTCCGCGCGCAATTAAAAAAACTTATATAGTGGCCTATGTGTTCTTCCAGAGGAAGTTCTACATCTGTACGAAATGTCACCGTTCTAAAGATACCTTTAAACAAACATCCATTCATCCATCTTTTCATCCAAACATTCGATTTAATAATATTATAGTAAGATTGACTTCGGAAATTGTAATGTAAATGTAGGAGCAATATAATATTTTAAATTATTAATTTTTTTTGACGTTTTTGATTACCTTATCTTAGTTTAACTTTTGTATTTCTTATTACTAAAGGAGTTTATTTGAATGAAACGACAATAAAACGTCGACTTTTTTCGTATGTTATATGTTTAGTGTTGGGAAAAGAGGTCAAGAGATGATGTATGCTGCAGTGGGCTGGATAGCAGCAATTTAAAAAATATGCAGAAATACTACCCATAAAGTCTATATGACTGAGATGTTTTCTTCGCATTGACAAAATAATTTTAGGACATTTCTAAAATACTAACGATCCCGAATGATGTTTTCATTCCGATTGAACATGTATGGTCTTCGTTGTTTAATTGCTACATCATGTATTTTAAATTTGTATGTATGTTTGTGAAACGGAGTTTGAAACACCATGTATAGCTGTACGACTATTCATTTCGAAATACAAGTATTGAAACATATTGTAATCTCTTTCATTCTATTTGAAAAAATAGAGTAAGAATTATGTTTCTCAGTTGTGAATTAATGATATTCTATCAGGTTTTTCTCTATTTATTAATGATAAATAATTATTAACAGTTTAAAAAAGCTGTAAACTGTTTGGTGTAAAAGAAAATGTAAAAATGTTTTACGTTAAATCTCAAACTGGGATAGCAAACTTTAAACGAATTAAAGTCATTCACTGTCAAGTTACAGATTTAATTTAACTTAACGAATGAAACTACTGAGTATAAAGGAAATAACGTTAGATTTTTCTACGGCTTAACTGTACTTACTATTTTAATCTGTACATAAAAATTATTGTTTTAAAGTTTGTCCGTACGCGTAAATCACTAGATATATTTTCATGAAACGACAATACGATTCTTAAGAAGTCACAGAACATTTTTATTATAGGAGTTTTTCTTGCATTATGTCATAGTGTCATAGATTTCAATAATCAGAGATTTGATTTAATTTTTACTGACATTGCAATGCATGTAGTATTGGGTGTTTCAACCTACCGATCGATCGGCCCAACTGGAAATACCCATCAGGTTAAACTAGAAAATATATGCAAATTTAACAATTTGGTTAACTTGATAGCAATTTTGCTGCGACATCATCATTTAAAATTTATGTCTAGAAAGGTCAAAAAGCTTAGCCATTAAAATGTTTTTTTAGCATTATATGATTCTTTTGTTTGCATTATGGTCGCCTAGTGACCAACATGGCTGTACATTTGACGTAGTTTTCTATGTGCAGTAAATTCTAGCCGTTGTTGGCACATTCCCAAAATCCAGTCTGGCCTCGTACGAATGTCGGTACAATGACCTTATGTGCTATTGATTCATTTATTTTATATCCTTAATAATTGTATCATAACTATCCGGTGCCAACGACACTTTGTTGAATAATTACTTTGAGTAACGTATTTCTATACGAGCTTTTGTCTATCAACTAGTATCTTAATCAAATAAAAAAGTAATAATAGAATTATTAATTATAAAATGATTGTAAGATAATGCCTAGTAGATTATAAACTGACAAAATTCGATTCATGAAAGCTCTATCATTAAAATTACAGGTTCAAAGGTACATAGTTCTGCTCGACTGAAATTCAAATACAAACGTTCATATTTGCATATTTACATTTCATATTCACTGTGGATCAGAAACAGTTCTCTTAGTTCCGTTATAACGAACTTCGTTAACCTAAACCATTTCTAGATTAATCAATTTTATTTCTATAGTTATTGTATTGCTAAGTTTATTGACCAGTGGCACTTTGACGACGGTATTAGGGAATCAGTGGATAGTCGAAAAGTCTTGTCTTTCCTTAATAAACTGCAACAATGGGACAACGTCGCGACGGGTTGGCGCCTCGCGCGAGCATGTCAAGTGTCAAATGTGACCCCATAATATGAGTTGCGGTATTATGAAAATAATTCTAATTAATTATTCATTAAATGTGTCGAGATTGCTCCTACACGTAATTCTATGCATGCATTCTAACATATGCCTTTGTGATTGACGTTATTGTCGAGTTTTATCTTTTAAGTTTTTAGTTTGAAATATTATTACCATATACTAGTGCTCGCCCGCTACCTCGTCTTCGCAGAAAAAGTATCGTCACTCGTTCTCGTCAAGTGCTTTCGTCAAAATCGGCCCAGCATATCGGACTTGCGGACAAACATACCTACACATAGATAGACAGACAACATTTTCAAATGTATATTTCTTTATCAGCTACTTAAATACATAGTGTGTACATAATATGGTTTTTCTTTTATATTTTATACAAATTTTATTAATATGTATAGTTTAAAATAATAAATTTTAATAGATATGCATCATTTTTTAAGATATTTTTATGCAATTTTTGTTATATTAAGCAGCACCAACTTTATACAACCACGTGTTTGACATTTTACAAAAAGCAAACTTGATACAAGTTGATTTACAACAAAATATTAAAAGAATGAACATTATAAAAGGGCAAATAATCTTTTATTCATAGCACTATATATCTTTAACGTCAAATACAAAAAAAAATCATCGAAGAAAAAAATGTTGAATTTAATTTTTCTCCGCAGTTCCGCTTTGGTGCTTGATTTTTTTTATTCGCAGCAATAAATATTGGATTGTAATAATGTTATAATTTGGACTGGTAAGGTTCGAAGTCGGAACGGCGCGGCGTGTTCCGTACCGCAGTGTTATGTAAGAGAACACCGCTCGATAGAGACTAGCTGGGACGCACAAACTTGTTACCCATGACGCTTTTTGTACGAGGATTAAAGGAAATCGCATACCATAACATTGTTTAGTCAACTTCTTTAAACTGTAACTTTATATATTTATAATAAACACGTAAAATAAATCCTGACGTACTAGGATCACATATAAATACATGATATGTCATTTATTTCTAATAATTTGTTATTTAAGTTTCAATTTTTTTTTAAGTTACTAATTAAGTATGGATTTCTGTTGTTCGAAAATAAATAATTTTTCAATTTTTAAAATATTCTAACAAGTTTTTAATAGTCACTTTGAGAATTCAAAAGAAATTAACTGCCGTCAAGATGGAGTTAATTCATGAGTTAAGTGGTTTTGCTTTATGTATAGCGGCAAATAAACTAAGATACTCTATTCTTGACCAAATAACAACTTTATGTTTTCAAGTACAAGTTGTATAAATAAAAGAAACTATTTTTTAAACCAATCTGAATGTAATGATCGGGCAATTTGTGTCGGGTAGTATGAGTCTAGTTAAGTAGAAAACTTTTTAAATTCCGATTGAAAATATTTAATTATCTTTGTTATTATAACAGACGTATAGATAAGTAATAATATAAGGTAACAAATATACTAAGTGGTTAACCACGACATGCCGCAGGTACAATTGCGTTTGTTTGGAATAGATTTGTTTGTTGCCGCAGTGTTACGTAACATTTAATACGAATGCCCTGATTCAGGCCCTTACAATTAGCTCTTTCTTTTACGTTTGACTTTTTGCAACTTATTTTAATTGAACTTAACCGTTTGACTCGCCGACGAAGTTATGCAAACAAGACGACATTTTGAAAAAACTAATGAAGTTTTACGCTGTTATTTTTAATTTTAAAACTCTCAATAGAAATTGCTCATTTTTATAAGCAAGTTAGTTTTTGTTATAAATATTTTCAGCTCTTACCGATGGCATTTAAGCTCACTACAACTTCTCTCTTGTTCTCTCAGTTAGTTATAATAACATAGAAGTTTTTATTTGATCTTATTTTATGTCGATCCTCCTTGTTTTAGTTACCTCTACCCAACTATGGATGAGTTGGCGAACCAGATTAACTACGTGCTTGGCCATTTCGGCATCAAGACTTTCATCGGCTTCGGCGTCGGCGCAGGCGCGAACATTCTCGCTAGATTCGCCCTCGTTCACCCGCAGAAGGTAAACATTTACTTTTCGCTTAACCCAACAAATTCAGCCGTTGAGTTTGTTCAAGGAGTTAATGGAAACCGAAGCCGGGTTGAAATAAAGCTAATATCGCGGGTATTAATTTTCATGATATTTCTCAACATCAAACTTAATATACATTTTCGAGAGATAATTTAACAACGGTCTTTACATAAACCCCTTGTTAGCTTACAAAAGTAACATCATGTTTTGCTTTATATTGTGCTATAATAATGCAAAATAAAACTAAGATTTAAAAGGCAGGAAACTGGCTTTAGTCGCGATCATCTATCACTGACAGAACTAAAAATTGTATATTAACCAACCGATGTTATTGTAGGTGGATGCCTTGACCCTGATCAACTGCACTTCAAGCCAGGCCGGGTGGATCGAGTGGGCTTACCAAAAGATGAACTCCCGCTCGCTGCGCGCCCGCGGAATGACCCAGGGTGTCCTTGATTACCTCATGTGGCATCACTTCGGCAGGGTGAGTGACATTTTATCAGCTTAAGAACATCCCCTATTTGAATCACTCCTGAATCGTCACTGGTCTATCTTTTGCTAACCTGGTGTATCGGTATACAGAGAAATATGTAACTTAATACATTTTATTAAACAAAAATTTTCAACCAATTCGAATTCGATCGCAGTAAAGCAGTGTACCTTTTAATAGTAAAAACTCCAAACCATCTATCGGATTGATACCGTTTCATACGAGCGGAGGTTTGGCAAATTTTCCCCGTGTTCCGGACACTTGCCCCTTTGGCGCACGTTCAAAATGTCTGGGCCACTGCATTGTATAATGTTTTCGCTTTGTGAACATCCAAGTAATCAATACTACATTGGACTGAATATCTTCAATGCTGTGTACAATTATTTTATTATTATAAAATTACTTATAAATTGTAAGATAAATAGGTTAGCTGAAAGTTTTTTTTTAATCTTCTACCAAGCTTTGAAAAAGATTTGAATATAAGTTCTAAAATCCATATAGGGTTCGCGTTTAATTAGCGCGAACGCAAACATTGTCAGCTTTTGCATAGTAAAGGCGAATTGTGCACCGATGCGATGCAAACCGCGTTCGTCGTGTGTACGCTGCAGTTGCTACGTAACGCCTCTAACTGGTGCACCACACGGATGACGTCATTTGCATACCAGCCACACCACCTATGTTGTCACAAATGCGACCGCATCATGGAAATTCTTGCCAACTCGATTTACCAATTTTAAAACTGGCGATATTAAAATGTTTTATAATTTGTGCTTGCGAAATATTTATTCTACTTTTACCTATATTAGTTTATTATGTATTTAAATTGAAGCGTTTGTAACTCGTTATATAATCTTGTATCATAATTTGTCGTCTAGACGGCAAGTTAATATATTTCACTTTATTTTTGGCTTGGCAGCAGAAGTTTATAAGTTCAATTTATTGCGAATTTCGACATATGGCCTTGATGTTTTCTTATTTATTGTGTTAATTTTATATTCGGTGACTATGTTAACATTTTAAATTTATCTGACGTTTTCTTTATGCGTTTCATTCTTAGTAAACCATAGAGCGTTGACTTTTGAAGGAGCGTTTTTGTCATCAGTTTGCCGAGGAGCGCAACCAAGACCTGGTGCAGTTGTACCGCGGATACTTCACCCGCCATCTGAACCCAACCAACCTGTCCTTGCTGATGGACGCATATGTGCGCCGCACTGATCTGAACATCTCCCGCGAGGGTCACACCCTTCGTGCCCCGGTGCTGAACATCACTGGCGCTTTGTCTCCCCATGTGGATGACACCGTCACTTTCAATGGACGCCTGCAGCCCACCAACTCTACTTGGATGAAGGTTAGTGGTATCACCATACCTTAAAACCTCTTTTCCACTAAGCGTCTAGCAATGGTACCTGTCCGCAACTGCTATTACAGCAGTCTCATAGGTTTTTTTTTATTTATAATTACAGATTTGTGTACATTTAAGTATGTCGGTCTGTGTGTATGTCCGTATTATGACTTGTCACAATATTTATTCGTAGTATCTCTACTGCAAGTAATATTTAAAGTAACACACCAGTAAGTTATGAATGAAAAAGGTAAATTTATCTTCCACTCGTGTCTTGACTCCGTCAAAGAATATTTACGTTTCAATTTCCACGCTGTTTACACTATGAAGTTCTTTTAAAGACTCTGAAAAGTAAGTTTAAATAAACAGAAATAGACGCTTCGTCGTTTTATGAAAACTAAGAGATGCTACTTTCAAACGTTTTCTGTTCCTTTACATTCTACGAGTATTACATTTAATTATCTTGATGCCAGAAATTAATTATTTCAAATTGTTTAAAGTACTAGCTGTCGGCTGCAACTCCGCACGGATTGAAAAAAAACTTAATTAGTAGCCTATTTGTTCTTCCAGACTATGTTATACATCTATGCCGAATTTTAAAGATACATTTTAACAAACATCCATCCATCCAAACATTCGCATTTATAATATTATTAAAATTAACAAAATGTTGTAATTATTACTTTAGTGATATTTCTAAATAATTTAAAATAAATAATAACTAAAAGTATTAAGTAATTATTTTATTTATTTCAATCATATAAATAAATTGGATGGATTAAATAAAATATTTTACCAATATGAATTTACTATACGATCGGATTGGATTGGATTCAACGAATCGACTTACGTGAGGACAAACCAGTCAGCGTGATAGTTCGACATTTCTGACTGATCGACGTTAACCCATTTAGTTCAGTCATGCACAATTACCAATTTCAGTATATCGAGTATAGATTTCAATATATATTCTAGCAATGATACAATAGTAAATTCATTTTCTGATATAATTCTCTAATTATTTATACTCTATGTTTATTAAAATTGTAGCGTCTTCAATTTTTTTTTTAAATATTAGCAGATTTTTTGTAAATTTACTAATATTTCTTTTACCATTCCAACTAAGCTCTATGCTTGTGCTAGGATATGGTTTACGACAATAGTCGAATGGCGGGGATTCGAACCCCCGACCTCGTGATCGGAAATCCGTATCCTTAACCATTACGCTATTGACGCTTTTAATAAATAATAAATAATTAAAATTGAGAATTTTTTTTGGTACATTTTAAATTCTGACAATATTTAATTTTAATTATTTATCTTATTAATATTATAAATGTTTGGATGGATGTTTGAAGGAATCTCCAGAACGGCGGCGTGATTCTCGTTGAAATTTGGCATAGATATAGAACATAATCTGGAAGAATACATAAGCGTTTTTTTTATAATGTCGCGCGGGTGGAGTCCTGGGCAACAGCTAGTACTCTATGAATATTAATAAAATTGAGTGCCTCTAATTGTATCCGTGTTGCGGATAATGAATAAACTAATATTTTAAATTTTTGTCTGGTCGTCTATCTATAGCTATACGATGTATGTGTTGGTACGCTAGGCTGCGTTTGTTACGGTTAATCTCCGGAACGGCTAAAACGATTTTGTCGGAACTTTGACGAGAAGGTAGATGATACCCAAGGGCATGTTATATTCTACTTTTTTTTAATTCTTCGCTGATGAAATGGCGGGTATCCGCTAGTGAAATTATTCCCCTGCTTAATAACTGTCAAATCAAATGCCGGGTAATAGATTTAAACGTAGATTTCCACTGACATTTGTAACGGAAAGTACGATCATTGCAAATGTCACTGCAGTTGAATTCTATAGACATATTAATATTCTCCTTGGAATATTAGCACCAATATCGTATTCTTGCCTTTGAATATCAAAGTAGGATTCAATAATTAAATTTATTCCAGATCTCTGACTCTGGTATGGTGCTTGAGGAGCAACCTGCCAAAATATCCGAAGCTTTCCGCCTCTTCTTGCAAGGCGAAGGGTACGGTAAGTAAAGAAGCGTTAATCTCAATAAAGATCCAAACTTTCTAAAGAAAAACATATTTATTTCGAAAACATTTTTATGTTTAAAATTATTTTTTCAAAAACATCGGAATTAACTAACTTTAGTGTAAATATGAGATTTATTTATAATTTTTAGATCTTGATTAAAAATATAGTATACGAAGTCACTTGCATGACTGTTTCCTATTAAACTAATAATATTTATAACTATGGAGGTTTAATATAATATTGAATATTGCATGCTATTTTGTTAATCATGGTATTTATCATCAAATAGCCATGATTATTGTAAAAAATTATAGGCACTTTAAAAATGGATTCACAAATGCATTTTAATGTAAAATATGCATGCATGAACTCGCTCTAATAACACTAGTATTAGGTACATTTAATATTAATGAAGCTTATAATGTATTCATTAATACCCAGACTTAAGATATTTCGTCTTAAGGTACGTTTCCATTGGCACGCACGCACGGATTAAACGTATTCGCTTTATCTTTCGATGCGGGCGGCGCGGATGGACGCAGTGCTAAGTTAATTAAAACAAATCGATCTAAAATCCATTGCGTGGACTAATGGACGCGTGCCTTTACGCGAATTTATAATCACACGTTTTCAAATCCCGATTTTTTGACGGTACTATTCCTAAGAAATACAGTCTACAACTTTCTTGGAAACAAAATTTCTCGGAAGAAAAATCTGTTTTTCCCTCAACTAAAATTTTCATAAAGTTTTATAAAAATTGGTGTCGTAAGTTTGGGTGTTATTATTATTAACAATATTGTATTTAAAAGTTATAAAAATATGTATTATACTTAAGCGTGCATTGGTATTTTAATGCTTATTATTTAAGTATATGAGTTTTGGTATATAAGATTGTTGGTTAAATATATAAATGCATAATTTCTACTATGGTCACCATGTACAGTGACATGATAAATGAAGCCATATAAAGTACGCTGTAAGTACATACTTAGAGCAGAGCAAGGGCACCGTAGATAAAGAAAAATACTATAAAATTATTCTCTGTAGTATTATATTTTTTAATGCAATGAAAAAAAAAATACTTTTCAGACGGTTATATGATAGACCAATTTTAATAGTAATATTTATAAAAAAAAACTAATTAAAAAGTTTAATAATTTAATTTTTTAATATCTTACTCGTATTTTAAGATTATGAAATAAATAAAATAATTCCACTTTGAATACTATTCGATCAAATTTATTAATTGTTAAGATGTTTTGTTTTAGTCGTGGTATCGTAGTTACAACTAAATTAACACTTTAGCTGCCAGAAAGATTTTTCGAAAAACGAAAAAAGATTTTTTTTTTAATTTTGTCAAATGCTTGTTAAAAATGGCATGCTGTTATAGCTTTAAAGCTTTTTTGTGAAAAATGAATCTTTGTTATATTAAATTTAATATAAGAAAGAAAAAAATATTATTCTACGATTTTTAGACGATTATAATTGAAACGGCATCGCTTTGAAGACGACATTCATCTTTTGTTTTCTCTTTACGCTTATTATCCTGTTGATTTATGCGTCTTTCTAAGGGTATGTATGCATAAAGCATTTTAAGTTTATAACAAATATTATTTCATCATCATCAGCTCACTATACGTCCGCACCGAGGGGCTCGGAGCCTACCCTAAGTTAAGGGTGATTAGGCCATAGTCAACCACAGGGCAAGTGCGGGTTGGTTGACTTCACACACATCTTTGAATTTTTCTCAGATATGTGCAGGTTGCATCACGATGTTTTCCTTCACCGTAAGAACGTCGGATAAATTTACATATGTAAATCGGAAATCGAAAAACACATTGGGATTCGAACCCAGGACCTGCAGATAGCAAGTCAAATGCTTAACTCCTGAAGCACTCAAATATTATTTAGTGTTGGTAAAAATACAACCCTGGACTTCTACACCCGAAACATTTACACAAAAACATTTTTTATCTCTTTCATTTTCTTTGAAGAAAACTGACAATAATATATTTTTGTAAAATATTCCCGCAGTGGAAACCCACGGCGATTATACAAATTAATACTATGTCAAGCATGGGCATCGTCAAGTGGAGATTAGAAAGATACTGCAGTCCCTTAGGCAAGGATAGATGACTTAAAAACAATTTCAGTTTGTTTAATAAATTGTTTAGTAAAAACATATGTCAATAAGCATTCTCTTTCTTGTGATAAAATCATTTCTACTATTAGCCCTCCACCATAATCATCGGCTAGCCCTTCCCTCCCTGATGATTGGCTGATGACACTCTTTTTGTAGTTAATGATTACTCATCCCTTTTATTGTTTATTTTGCATGACAAAATTAATGACTAACCGAATGTTTTATTCTTAATTTAATGTTTATTAAAATTGAACAAAAATAACTTCAATTTTTAATTTAATGTTTATTAAAATGGAGTTATGTTTTTCTTAAATCTTTTTCATTTCTCCAGTTATATTTGTATTTTTTGGCAGATTATTCTTTTTTTTTAATTGTTTTTTTTTCTCCCAAACCCATAGCCGCGTTGGCACTGCACAAATTAAGTCGCGTAAGATCATGTAGTAGTCTCCAGAGCTCGTCAATATCCAAGTAGAAAGTTTTTTGCTATGAAGCTTGAGTAGTCTGAGTAAGTTGGATTTTTATTATTTTTTTCAATAAAATACCAAAAATTTGCAAAAACCAACCAGAATGTCTCGGAGGTTGACGTTTAATATAAGTATTTCTAAAGCAAAATGTCTGGTTTACATTATGCCAGTACAGTGGGACAGTGTCGTTCGAAACAGCACTGGCATAGTAAAAACACCAACTGGCACCTGTGACCCCATACAGTTCACGCCAGGCTAGCCCTATTTTCCTATGTTGGTACAATGTAAACGTGGCATTAGGTTTTTAATTAATTTTATCAAAAATCTCGTAAAATAAAATTCATATAATAATGTTGGTTTTCGTAATTTTCGTATTTATAGCAAGCTTTTATCAGTATACCGCATCAAGATATTTTTAATAGTGGTGTACATTTATAAACAATTACTTTAAATGATAGTTACATTACACTTTCCTCATATATTTTTGAATAGATCAGGATGTTAATTCCAAACATTAATTTGATCATGTCACTAGTACCTAAAATATTATTAAATTCCTATTAGTTAATACTCTCCCTATATTTATATCATTAAAAGTAGTTAAAACAATTTTCGGATCGATCTCAAGGATCGATTATTACGTCAGTTATCAGATTATTTGGCCAGATAGTAAGTACCCGCATGCAATAATTGGTGTGACGATGCGGTTGGATGTTGCAGTGGCGCCACTGTCACCCACGAAGATCATAGCGTTCCGCCGACTGTCCGCGGACGCGGGCCGGCGCCGCTGCCGCCACTCGCCCGTCATCCGCATCACCGAGAATCCCATCTCGGAGGCAGTGGTCTGCTAAATGCCATCACCAACTAAACCCCCCTCCACACGCGCCCCTCACCCCCTTCGACCGTCGCGCCCCGATGTGCTATCGTGGAAATTTATCTCTCGATGTCTATCATATATACCGCTAAATTAAAATCGCGCCATTCGCGCTGTCAAAACCTCTTAGGCTTTTCGCATATAAATTTCCACGTACGCTCATCAATTGAATGGTATTTGAAATCGAAATGTTTTATTTTAATCGCATTCGATTTCAGATGTGTACATATCGAGGCAAACTTGCCTTTTAGAATGAATGTGTTATCATCAATGTTGTAAGGGTAGACGCGCGACGGACGACCCCCAGCTTCACTTCGTAAGAGGGATTCCCTATATTTATGTAATATCAATATAAAATTAAGAAAAAATTTATTAGATACACACCAAACTATCTTACATGTATAACACTATATGCATTTATTATCCAGTATTCTTATAGGTTTACATGTTTTATTTATACATAAAACGAAAGTATAAATGTGTACGGAATATTTCAGAGGCTCTTATTTATTTGATTTTATAATTATTAAATAAAGTTTAACTATGTAGTGACTGCTTTAACTATTGGCGTATACTTAGATGTTGACGCAAACATTAGGATATGCCGTCGTAGGTACATTTTTCGGAGTTTTTCATACGATTATATTTAGCACGAACTTATATAGAATAGGAATTAAATGAGAATGTAACACGGAGAGTTGTATTATCTATGTCGCTGGGTGCTATGCTAAGACCAAGATTTTGAAATGAAATAACGAAAAAAAATGTTTTAAAAACTTTTGCAAATATTCTAATAATTTATTCAAGGAATCTTATGTATCGATGTGTTGTGAGTTATTTGTTTTAAAATGGTGAATTTTGTAAACGAACAAATCTTGCCGTATGCTTACTAATATTATTATTAAGTTATAAAAGTATTACTTTATGTTCCTGTTTATAAAACCCCGACATCAATGCATTAGTCTCATCGAACAAACGATAGAGGGCGTTATTTTTAAAATTTACTGTATAATTTTAATTAAAAATTAACAATATACTCAGTATTCTATCAAAGTTTTTTGATATATTTTTATAATTATTTAATTTTAAATGTAAACAGTACAGTTTTTTATATTAATTTAATCTTTTATCATAAGTTTGTACACGATGTATTTTCACGCTACTTATATGGATTGGACAGAATGCAGTTAAAAGATGGAATTTCGTTCGTAGCAAATAGCATTAGATTTGAGTAGTGTAATCGTTGATTTTAGACTATAAAGATATAAGTTAGACATATTTTCAACTATTCAAAGTAACAAAGACGTCAACAACTTTTCCGCGCATTATTCTAACGCTTCGTAGAAGTACAATTTCAAACTTTATGTAAACATTTTGTAGAATCTCAAAATCCATAGAAGCTAATTATAATTTGAAAATGTTGCGATTATTTGTGTGATTTATGAATCTATTAAATGGTGGTTTTCTAATAAATTGATGTTTTATTTAAACCCTTTATCCCAAAAAAAAAACACCCCAATCTTACTTCTTCTTACTAATATTATAAATTCAAACGGCTGAACGGATTGCAATTAAATTTGGCATGCATATATGACATAGTCTGGAAGAACACATAGGCTACTAATTATGTTCTTTTTTAATTCCGCGCAAACGGAGTCGCGGGCGATGGCTAGTAATAATATAAATGCAAATTTAGGTAGAGGGTATCACCAGAACGGCTGCATCGATCTCGCTGAAATTTGGCACATAGTCTGGAAGAGCACATAGACTACTTATAAAGTTTTTAATTCCGTACAGAGTCGCGGGCGACAGCTAGTTATTGATTAAAAAACGATATATCACGGTAACCGTGGGTTTGTCAAATCAAAATCGCCATTAAAAATATTATCTCTGTATTGAAGACACAAGGACGACGATATACTTTATAAAGATTTCGGTCTCAGAAACCCATGGTTTATCATCAGCTCACTATACGTCGCCACCGAGGGGCTCGGAGCCTACCCTAAGTTAAGGGTGACAAGGCCATAGTCAACAACGCTGGCCAAGTGCGGGTTGACTTCACACATATCTTTGAATTTCTTCTCAGATATGTGCAGCATCACGATGTTTTCCTTCACCGTACCATACCCATGATTAATAGAATAAAAATGCCTTTGATAATTGATTAATATATTTGATATTTATAATGGACACTTAATATCTTATACATTTAAACTAATAATTACATAAAAAATACAAAATTAAGACATGCAAGAAATATTTGTTTGAACATTTTACCAATTAATTTAGTAATCTCAAGTTTAAATCATGAATTTCTGTAATACTAACAATTCATTGGGAAATCAGCATAATTTAACAAAAAAAAATTAAAAAGTTACAATATTAAAAGCAAAATACGTAATATATTTAAATGACAACTATTTAAAAAAAAGTGAGGTTATATAATTTTTTTGTTAAGTTGCCGGATTTAATATTCCATGTTTAAAAAAACTAAATCTATCAACAAATAAAATTGTTTTAATAAATGAAAGACTAACATTTTACTTTAAGTTAATTAAAAAGAAATAATTTCTAAATACATTTACAATTGTGATTATTTTTTTTTACCTTTTTAATTACTAATACTACGTACAATCAGACGATTTAAAAGCATAAATTAATTTAATAATATATATTAATATCATTAGTTATTAAAATAAAAATTACAAGTCCACATTTAAAAATAAAATAATATTTGTAAAATTAATTAAAATAAAAGATAAAAATGGGACGAAAAAAAATTAATTTAAAATTAAATATTTAAATAAATCATTTATGTAAAAGACATATGTCATAAGTACGTTGAGATAAAGATTTATTTTATGGAACTACCCACACTTTCTAGTATTAAAAGCTTAGAAAACAGCGGCTAAGTAGTAGTAAAAAAAATCTGCGAAATAAGACAACGGGAAGAACGTAGAATACGAACATACGAGCTGAAGAGATGAATTCGACGTAGTAGATACATTACAACTATTAGAAAATCACCAAACAGTTGTAAACATAGTCAGTTTATAATCTGACTAGGTTAATTTTTAATTTTTCAGTTTTATTAGAAAAAATTAAAATTCGTCTCACTCATATCGATTACAAACTGACGAACTTTCGAATCTTCAGTGACTTTTATCAGAGATATTAAAACATAATACTTATATTAAGTAGTATATAGTCAAACTTGAATATGCAAGAATCTGCTAGATTTTACTTGATAGATTTCTCTTTTAACATAAATTTCTCGCTTATATCGTCTGGGACCGGCTTATGACAGGCAAAGCCTACTGTGACCATCACCAGATTACTTAACATTAAGTTTATTAATTAAGTTAAGTGTAATTTTATGTTACCTTTTTCTCTTTTTATAGAAGTTTCTTATTTATCCAGGTTCGACTATATTTAGGTGTTATTTAGTTACATTCAATCTATATTTTAAATCGTTACTAGAAAAAACTACAATTATTTTCAATATAATTGGACACATATCAAATATGACAAAGATGTTATTTATTTATATATAGCAATAGTAAATAGGAATACTGGTATATAATAACATTAAACGTACAAGTCTTTGTTTAGTACAGATAGCAGAAAAATTGCCGTAAAGTTGGTAATACGAGAAACTTTTTTGTAGACTGTACTCAGTTATTGAAATTAATTAGCGCTTATAATTATAAAGCACGATAATATATTAATATTTACAAAATTGTATATTAAAAAAAATGAAAAAATTTGGTAAAATATTATCATTACTATAAATAGAATTGTGTCAATTTAATAAAATAATAAAAAATCATTGAAAATCATGAAATAAAAATTAAAAAAAAATATTATAACAAATTAATTATTTACATAGAAATAATTATCAATTCAAATATATGTACAATTAATGGCCAAATTGTATATAAATTCATGTATTCAATATTTACCAAGTTACCATTTTTTGAAATAATTATAAAACAAAATAATATTTACACAAAACAGGAGAAATATAATATTTTTTGGTAAATTTACCGGTTGTTTTTTTTTTTTAATTTAATGATTAAAAAGGACAATCAATATGATGGATATTACTATTATCAATATGATAGCCAAGTACACCTTCTTCTTCCGGATCTTATTCTGAAATGCAGAAAGAAAAAACAATCAGACATTGAAAATTATTATATTACGTTAAAATTCTCACTTATACAATAACATATACAAGAATTAACATTTAATTTAAGCAAAATTAACCAAATAAATTAATTAAATTGAATTTAATCAAAAAAAATTTGGTTTAACCAATTTTAGTCACGGAATTAAATTTCCAACCCACCATGTTTAACACATCACGTTGTTAAGCACTTGTTTATTAATTTCAAAATTATTTACCTTGTAATTAGCAGCCTGTCGCAACTCCTGGGTGCCGTTCTCAACATTGTCGAGAGCGCATTCGACGCTGGACTCAATGGAATCCACCACAGCGCCCTGATCATGGATCATGGTACCCAACTCTTTGAAAATCTGGTTCACGTCCATAATATCATTCTGGAAAGAAATACAATTTATGTAGACTAAATTACCTTTTGATAAAGTGACCAATAACAAGGAAATCTTACACATATTATAAATGCGAATGTTTGGATGTATGTTTGTTAGAAGGCATAATTTAACATATACCATAGGCTACTAATTACTTTTCAATTCCGTGCAGACGAAAACGCGGGCTATAGCTAGTCTATACATTCACAAACAACGTTCCGTGTAGTAAACAGGATATTCGTTGTAAAATAATACGACTTCGGCAAAACATTCAACATTCCTTTTACGAAGTTTAGAAATTAAAAAAAATAAACGATTTATTACACTATAGGCATAATAGATTCTTTTTTTTATTTCTAATATAATACAAAAAAAAACATCTATTCATATAATTAAAAAAATACATAAAAACTCCATTAAAATACAGCTGTTTGTCAAAGTGGATATCAGTCGTTTCCGTGATAAAATTTATTTGCATACAAGAATTTCTTGTTTAATATTATCAGACTAGAGATCGCCTGCCATTTCATCAGCGTAAAATAATAAAACCTTCCAATAAATCCCATTAAAATCGGTCCTGCTTTTATACATTACCCGGAACAATGCTACTTCCAGACAGACAGACACATAGATAGAAAAGAAATTAAATTGTTAATTACCCAAAATATGATTTTCTTTTACAAAAGTTGATATGCAACTTTATTAATCGTATAGAATCAGATCTAAAAATAACCATTGAACATTTTGTTGGACATTTAAAGAAAAAAAAATAGATCGTTTGCTATGTAATCAATTTGACGCATAATAATAGAGTATTCACATTCGATGCAAAGCAATTGACGTACGATCAATTTAAAACAACTAATGTCTCCATCGCGTGTACTAAAATATTCAAATAACAGTCGATTGATTGCTAGGACATAACTACACCTACGTTACACATACTTAAAAACATATAAAAGTAAACTCACTCCGTAGAATATGTCAGAAATATAATTTTATTATTATATTAAACTAGCTTTCGCCCGCGGTTCCGTCCGAGCGGTATAAAAAATCAATTAGCCAATGTGTTTTTACAGATTATGTTCTACATTCCAAATTTCAGCGAGATCCATGCAGCCGTTCTGAGGATACCATCTAACAAACATCCATCCAAACATTCTTATCATTTATATTAGTAATATTAAAAATACAGTTCTCTCTCCATACACTCCATACAATCCATACAATCCATACAATCCATCTATCAGTTAGAATAATAAAGCCTAGTTAAAATACTAAGCGATGGTAACATACCTCAAGTTGACGAATATGTCCCTCGCGTTCTGCCAACTCTTGCAATTCGCGTTCAGTCTGCATTGTCAGCTGCTCTTGTTTACGCAGGTTTGAATCACCCATCTCGGACCATGGATCCTTGTTACCTATAAATTTGAAAAACATATGAACATTTTATCAAAGAATTTATAATAAAGTAACAATGATTATTGTTAACAAGGAAAAGTGACAGTTTACAGTTGGTTTCTAAGACCAAAATCTTTTTATAAAACGTTATCCCTGTCATCTTTGGCAAAACAAAGATAACAATATATTTTAAAAGGGGAATTTTGGTCTTAGAAAACCACGGTAAGTCATATTAAAAAAACAATATTAAATCTCATTAAACAATTACATTTTCGTTTGTTTTACTGTTTGAAATATTTACTTGTCATCTTAGATCCTACCATAATTTTTTATTTATCAAAAACGTATTTATAAAACGACTAATTCATTTCTTTTGTCTATGTACGCAAGGAATATTTTACTTTAGCATCAAATAACATAATTTATAAATGTTTGAGGGTTAAACATGATTCATTGTGATATTAACAATGAAACAACTATGCACAATGCTATTTGGAATTCATTTATGCATAACCCAATATGTTACCTATGTTTACAGTAGGGAAAAAGGACAATTGGTTCCTTAAATATAATTGTTACAAAATTTCTCACAACACTGTCATGGATACATATAGAAAATTCTATTAAATGTTTCCTTAACTATTCTATCCGAAAGAGAAATACGATATAATTTTACATTAAACAATCTAACCACAAAAAAAAGACCATAAAATCTACGTAAAATTATAACCAAACTACTTTTAGCCTATAAGATTTTTTTGCATATTAAAATATTCTAATTATCTTTACATATTAAAACCTATTTTATGATTAAATCGCTATAAATAGAATACTCGGTGAAAACCTAGAAATGTAGTGAAATAATTTATGAGACATAATCTTGTAATATTTTTACGTAACTTACTATTAGTGCTTGCAGGGGGCGCGATATTGATCGTCTGGGCCTTGGCTTTACGAATGTCTTCCTTCGTCTTTTGAGCCGCTAGCTTTTGAGTGGCCTGTGAAAATTAAATATTAATTAATGAATCTACTTAAAAACTCTACTCTCCGGATGAGAACATGCATGGAAATGGGAAAATATTTTCTTTCTGTGCATCCTCTCATCCGTCGATTAAAGGTAGGCAACGCATATGCAATTTCGTGTGTTTATGAGCAGCGGCCAATTCGCTATTTCAGCGATTTCTGGTGGCCGCTCGCTCGTTTGCCACCTTAGGATATAAAAAAAATACTTTAAATAAGAGAAATTATTACTAATTAACTAAGGTTAACTCATTTAAATAAAATGTCACCAGAGCTACAGTACAATTCCGTTCTCAGGAAACTTTAAAAATGGTTGACGATTCCGAGGAATTAATTAATAGCCTATATTTTCTTCTAGGATATGTTCTAAATCTATGCCAAACTTCAGCGAGATCTATGATGAAATTCTACAGATACTTTCGAATAAATTCACCTAAACATTGACATATATAATATTAATAAGCTAGTAATTTAATTGTTTATTGTAAAGCTTATTTGAAATAGCTAAAAAAGAATATTCCTTTATTTAAACAAGTTGATTTTTATTTTAATAAAATATTGTTGATGCCAAACAAAGATAAAGTAAATACATTCCCCTCATATTATATTTATCTGTCATATCATATTGTATATGTTTTTGCCTGATAAAGGAATAACAACTTTATAAAACATAGTGAATAAACAAGTCTATGTATTTAATACATAAATTTGTATAAACTAGTCCTAAACAGTCCTAAACTATTTCAAGTTTACTTAGGTACAATCTTTGTTTCTTTACATATGTTTGTGTTATGTGTTTTGTTAGTATGAAAATTAACAAAGATAGATAAATAATATTATAATATCTAATATTATAAATGCGAAATTTTAGATGGATTGAAGGATATTAGAAGGTACCGCCAAAACGTCTCAACATATCTTACTGAAATTTGGCATATAAGTGGAATATAGTCTGGAAGAACACACAGGCTACTTAATATTTTTAATATTGTGCTAAGAGGGAGTCGTAGGCACCAGCTAGTCTAAAACATAATAATTATTATCTCCATATATATTATAGATATTTTGTATTAGCCATTAAAATAAGTTACAGGTTTATTTATCTTTGTAAATTACCATAGTAACATAATATATGCAAAGAAGCCGAGATCCTACTTTAATCTCAAAGAATTACAAATTAAATCCTGGGCTACATAATAAATTATCAAGTGATAACAAAATTTTAAAATAAAAAATGTATATATTAATTTATTTTTAATCGGCTCGAAGGATTATGTTAAAAGATGAAACTTATGTCCTTTTCCTTAATTAAAAGACATCCTATACTTTTTCCTCATATCAAAAGCAAAGACTAACTCCACTGCAGTACTACTGATATAGACAAAGGATATCTAATCCAGTTAGAGGCGGTACAGTCATGGTAAATTATGGCACAAATATGTAAAACCTACATGGACATAGAAAACCAGATGAAGAAAAAAACATGGCATGACAGATACAAACACAGTGTTGAAGGCTGTCAAGCAATGAACGCTTTAAAATCTTGTTTCCTTGATCCAGTGTTTTAAATGCAACACAGCCAGTTAAAAAAGAATTATGGAGATATGTGGAAATCAATTTGTTCTCTTGGAACCCGATTGAACACAGCGTAAATAAAGCACCCGTGCAAATGGGGGATTAAATTCTCAACAAAACAGAGTCATGAATAGTAATAAAAGGGTTACTGCAGATAAAACCAAAAGTCAAACAAGCTACTTGAGTTCAATTTGTGTTGTGTCATTTTTCGATAAATTTTAATGTCTCTGTTTACTACAGATAAAAATATGATTCATTATGTTTTTTTCACCCAACAAACAATATTATTACCCTATTAACAAGATATTAATGTTTACAGGTATGTAAGTTTTATGTATGTGTGTATGTACATTCAATTATGACCTACTATAGAATAAATGATGTTTTTCCGAGTGTTAGGGCTACAATTTCCTTTCTTGAATGTATGAAGATATTAAAAACAAAAGTATATATACTGACCAGGAATGTGTTAAGAGTGCTGATGTATTCATCACTCAGCCTCTCCCGTTGCAGCTTCTGTGCGGATTGGTTGACCCGCATCTTCATCAATTCCATCAGAATAGTAGATGTATCTTTAGCCAGCTTCTGTGTATAGTTTTGGATTTGACGCCTAAACATGAACAATACATTTGTATTATTTATTTCATAAAACTATAAAATATAACAATAAAATAATATTTGATATGGTTAAACCCAGAATTAAGGACTGATAAATCAATTTAAATGATAATACTTACAGCTGGTTCCTAAGCTCTTGGGAATCCTGCGGTGTTTGCAGCTGGTTGACCATCTTCGACATTGATGACACTAAAAGAATATAAAACAACATTTCATGATACAAGTACTAAAAGAACACTCACGTAGTAATTAGTGAAGTTTCTTCAATTTTCGGACGATTTAATACTCTTTTTTTAATGTAAAAAATAGTAATCCTATTTCTAGTAATATTTTCGTAAAATTGATTATAAATTACATCTTAAAAATTGTACACGATATGCTCACCATTTTGTGAGATTTTCTTCACATTGCTTGCAATCGTTTGGGACAATCGTTGGAAATTGTCGTCTTCATCGCCTGCCACACCTCCTTGATAAGAAGTCTCCATTCTACGGTGATAATAAGAAAAGTGATTACAATTTTCCAACTACATTACTTTACAACATTTTATTATAGTTCCACAAACATTGATCGAGCAACAATAGGTATGTGACGTCCACAAATTACGAATTGCTTCAATAAATAACACTCTTTAAAAACATGCCTAATTTATCTAATCTACGAGAAACCAGGGTACTTACGTAGTAATAATGAGCAACTTTTAAACAAATTTAGATACTGAAAAAGAAAAATTTTTGAGACGACCAACTAATATGACGTGAAAAATTCAAGAATTCATTGATTTCATATCAGTCGTAAGTTTTCGGTTTTCAAGCGATTAGTGTTGTACGTGATACGTGAGGTATCGTTACAACAACCGGAAAATACCGATAAAATATAAACTTTAAACATATATTTATATTTTTGGAATAAGATAATGCCTATGATTTTCAAATGAAAAGATATATAAAAAACTAATTTCGTTGGATTTTACAGTCAAACAAGGATATCTCGCCCGATGAGAGAGGTGCTGCAACCGCGGTTAGTTCTGTCCGCAAATATGTGAAACTAGTACTGTGTACACAGATCTGAACCAGCACAAAATTTCAGTATAGAAAGATTACAACTGGTGAGCTACGATAATGTTAATCATAGTACAATTAAACAAATATATTGGCAGCTCAAGAAATTAAGTTTAGTTAAGTTATAACTATGACTATGCATAGATCGACAAAGATATCTTTACTCACTAGCGCCCCTTATTCACGTAAAAAAAGAGTAAAAAGATTGGCTTTTACGTTATTGATAAAGTTTTATTTATGTAATTTTATATGTTCAACATATTTTCCGACTCTCTCTCAACGGTTTAGGTATTCTTTTATGAATATCAAAGCTCCAAGAGCTTTGAAAATAGCATGAAAGATAAAAACATGACATGACAGGTATAGTCAACAAGAATATCTGGTATAGTTCTTGATGTAAATATGATTGCACTTGACTTCAGGCGTCATATTTTACCAATGTGGATCCGGCACTGGACCTCTATAAATGGATAGGCTTGAAAAAGATAGCTTTTGCTCTATTCCGGATTATACCTTACCTATCTATATTAATAGTTCGAATCCACACCACCGCTACTTTCAGCATCCAAATGGCGGAAATCGAATATGTACGAAGTACTACATCTTATGGCCAGTCCGTTTATAAGGGTCAGTGCCGGATCTGCCTGGTTTTATGTTGCCATTTGAATAATTTCGAAATTCGATGATAATACCACGCATGATGTTTGACATGTAGGTTTATTTACTAATGTGTTTGAATGTCTCAGTTAAAATAGTAACGAATTACTTCGAGAAATTACGTCAAAAGTTGCAAATAATTACTTTAACAGGGACTTTGAATGGCGAAAGTTAGGAAATTTACCTCTATCGATGTCAAAAAACTGCCATAATATCTCTGTGGGACTATTATAATATTCTTGTATTTAAAAATAAGACACCCAGACTGGACACGCCACTATTATTTGTTTTTTTCAGTACAAAAGATTTACCTTTCTTTCAGCACTTTACTTGGGTTGTGAGTGCTAAAGTGCTTTATCCTGTTTCCAGATTGAATTTGACTATAACCTGTTGTCTATGCTTACTGCTCAAACCCCAATGGTTGGTTATGGTCTAGAGGAATAAATTTATTGATTATGGCTTACATGCATACATACACATTTAACACGCACACAGTTTTACTTACATAGTTGTATTATGTCTTTGCTTCGTGTCCTTTATCCACTAGCCAATGATTTTTGTGTCGGAAAAAATCGTGCATTATTAATTCATGTTATATATTGATTTCGGACAAGTTCTTTGTTAATACTCTATAAATACGTTCTTAAAAACAAATTCAGTATAAGTGTAGTATTTTGTGAAGGCTTGACAGTACGTCAAGGAATACAGTAGGCAGAAAAGAAAGCACTTCGTAAAAATGTCTGGACCTTTTGTTTTCAATAGTTATATATAAATTTGATAGGAACAGGAGCACTGAAGAAGAATGAAATACTAGAAGTGTAAATTATCAAGTAAGTCTACTTATTTTTCATATATTCTACTTTCTACGATATGTCAAAATTCTACCTACATTTTCATGGGATACCTCGAGAGAAAAAGTACGACGTATTTTCCTACTATAAGTTCGGCATATTTTTTAGTTGTAGATATTTAAGATTTTATTTAACTTAAGGTAAGATGAAATATATAATATGTTTTACAAACATATTGTCCATAGTATTCGCGAACGCAATGGTGGAAAGGTAATCGATAATTTGAACAAGATGGTTACGACTACTAGTACTTTTTCCCGTTATCTATCTTTAAGAAAATTAAATTAAAATACATTTCACATTACTCATCACAAACAAGTTGGAGGTTTGCAGATTTATCTACCAGTTAATGATTAAATAAACTATGCTGAGACATATTGCGTTTTGAAATGGAAAACAGTATTTTAACAGAGGAATTCAAATTATTTTATTAAACGTTTGTAGGAAAATTAAAAAAAAAAAATTATTCTACATGTTAATTGCATGAAGTGTTATCTGTACATTTTATTGAAATATAAATATTTGTTGGTAATATTGGAAAAAAATTATATTTCGTACATGAGATGTACCTGTTGCTGATACTGAAAAACCATTTTTTTTAATTTTCTTGCTGACTGTCCATAAGGCCATGTCTGTTACAAGTATTCTCCGAAATGACTGTTCCGATTTTCACGGGACTTGATGAAAAAATACTCAGGTCTGCGTTCCCTTAGTGCTGTGAAAAAATAAAACTTCTAAACCAACACAATCAAAAGATCCAACCGTTTATGTCACAAATTTACGCAAATTTTTGACATTCGTAAGGGAATCGAAACATACAGGGTACTTCCAGTCGACCTAGAATATTGAAATTTGGCATGAAGCAATGGGTTACGGCAAATATAAAGGAAAAATTGCGGAAACAGTAATTTTTTAGTTTCATCATTATATGATGAAATTAAAAAATTTATAATTTTGAACTTAGTAACCCCCTTCCTCATTAAGGCGTAGAAGTATTAAAGTGCAATTCATATCAAATGCTCAGGTCTATAATACCTTTAAGTTGTAACAAAACCAAACTTTTATATATTTTTAAATATTTTCTTTCTGTGCATCCTCACCTCCGTCGATTAAAGGTAGGCAACGCATATGCAATTGTGTATGTCTATGGGCAACGGTCACTTCGCTATTTCAGCGATTTCAGGTGGCTGCTCGCTCTTTTGCCACCTTATAATATAAAAAGCAATTTAAGTCGCATTTTTCTGAAAGCGTAACTACTAGCAAGGATCAAAACCTACTTTCATTCGACATACAATCTTGAAATTTGCTTGAAGCAATATCTTATAGCACATATAAATGAAAAATTCTGAAAAATCTTAAAAAATTTTGTTATATCACATACTACTTTTTAAAACTATGAACTTATTACTCTTTTTAACTATGATTGCATTGTAGTGATAGGTTAACTTAACATGTTTGTTCGGAACCCTTGGGGCGAGAGTCTGACTTGCACTTGATCAATTTTTTTATATTCACATCAATACTTTTTTGTATGGTACAAAAGAATTTCCTAATAAAGAAATTAACCTGTTATTTACAAAATTTACACAAGAAGTCAAACAGTAAATTGGATTGATTTTCAACATATGTAGAATTTTTAAAATGAATAGTAGCAAACAAGTCTTATAAACTGTTAATTATCTTACAAAAATACTAATAATGTTAATTGTTTTTATCTACGGTCAGCTGGACGGGATTTAAATTAACCAAAATGGATCCCTCACTATATATGCAATACTCACCTCCTAATGGACTACCTCAGGAATCCAAATTGGCCACATATATGGTATGAAATATATTTACTTAACAATACTTTGAAATACTTTAATAACTTAAAAATAACTTTAAACACTGATAAGATTTGAGGTCTGGCTAAAGGAAGGTGGTCTTTGATGAAAAGTCAAATCAACTTACAGCTTTTCTGCCCTTACATACTAATTTGGTGATTTTTTTTAAATTTGCAGTTGGAAAAAACATTTAATTTGAAATTATCTACCTATCCAGATACATTTTCAATTTCTATGTTGGTAAATTAACTAATAATTCCAGAATCATTCTGCCACCCCTCCTGCAAGGTCTTTGAATCAATCTTTGAATCATTCAATGAGCCAGCTCAGTTTGGAGTCTTCACCTCCTGCCATCAGGAAGGTAAGCAAATTGTACCATCACATTTAATTAACAATTTATATATATTGTAATAATTCCTTTGTGACTTTATCCAGGTAAATAGTTAAACATAGTATAATTTTCTTTCCACGTAAATCTTTGATCAGTCATCTTTTAGCAACTATACTATGTGATGATCTTAACTACAAAATCAATAAAATGTGAAAGGCTTACTACATTATTTTTCAAATTGGTGTAGCTGTTTTAGAGTTTATCTAAAACCTTTTCTCAATTAAAATTAATATGGATTTAATTTAACCAAAATCAATACCTTATAATTAAGTAGTTCTTTTCTCCAACCATGTTAAGACTAATAATAGCTTTATGGAAATTGTGAGATCTATTATAAGGTTGCACATAAGGTTTTCAATAATAGTTTCCCTTAAACATTTATACAATATCTTGAAGTTCTTGATGTTTGTCTATTATTATCTTGTGAGATGCATAGACAAGATTATAGAAATTTTGTGAGGACATAATTTGAAATAATTTACTTAATATGATGTGTAAAGTACATACTATATGTGTAGTCATGCATTTAACTCAGAGGTTTTGGCAGAGATAAAGACCAAGACCAGCGATGGATCAACTAAAATTAGCCCATTATGGTCACCCTTTTGGTACAAATCTACAAATAACTGTAATACCTATTCCCTTGTTCATTCACTCATCAATAATTGTAATCAAAAGTATAAATTTTAGGTATTCATAAGTGAATTTGTACCCATGAATTACTTCGCTTTACCACCTCCAACGAATTTACTACCCGAGTCTCCAGAAAACTCGCCACCTACTACCATGGTCCCTGTGCCCAATATACAAGTACACCAGGTAAATGTGAATTATATCCCATCACATTTTTAATGCAATTTGTACTGTACTTTCTCATATTTATGTGTTTATGTTTCAATTTGCCAGATATTTTTAAGCGTCTATGATACACAGGTAATTTCAAATATGGAAAATAAATGTTAAGTTATTTGTGCGAACCATTTATGATGTGTGACTGACATAAACTTACTTAATGTTTATTTATCAGGAGAATGTTGGTGGTACAACATACTTTTATTCGACCAATGAAGCCCTCAATGCTTCCGGAGCCATGAATTCCTCGGCTTCTTTGGGTATGTTATTATTGTTTTAGTTTTTGATCAATCATATAAAACATTTATTATTACATGCATATGTAGCTTCCGCACAATTAAAGCATACAACTAACTAAGAAATCTGGCAGCTGGTAAGTATTACATAAAACTAATAACATAAAAGATGGCTAATGCAAATGTTGGACTTTGCTCACATATTTTGTCTATGGTCAGTCGCTATTAGATATGGTACTTTTATTTTTCATTCTATTCAGTGTTTGAAAGGCTAAAAATACTTTATGGTTTGGTGGGGTTCATAATCATGTTGTTGAATAGTTGAATTTGTTTTTAACATGTTATTTCTCAGTTAATTCGGACTCTTGCCGCGGAGTTAACCCAGGCCCCAGTGCATCTACGTCATATGCACCGCAAATGTTCTGTAGTACACCTAGTCATATGGTGCCAGGCCCAATGATGTCTAAGCCTGGTACGTATTTTATATTAAAAACTAGGCAATTATTTCTTGGTGTGAAGTGTTAACTTGTTTGTATTATGGTCAACTAACAGGTCCGGAACAAATGATTGGAGCTGGTGGTGGTCCGAGTCCATCTTCCGCTTATTCCGCAATGTACACTCCAACTCATTTGGGACCTAATCTGATGATGCCCAAGCCAGGTTACTAATAATTATTTTCAATTTTATCTCCCTTTAACTTAATGCTAATACGTTTTTTATCTTTTGACTTCTTATAACATTGTAGTAAATATATACTTTGTCATATAGTTAAATCCTTATCAATATTGGAAAGTCACAAATAAATGAGACATATAACAAGTTCAATGCTATCTATTCACCCTTCAAGTTCACTTTAGAATGTTGAAACATAACAAAGTAATTAACATTTTAACGAGTAACTTTTTTTAAATCTTTGGTACTCTTTCGTTATACCATTGCTCTTTTATACTACATAGTTGGTGCTGAAGCTTGTCGTGGCGCAAGCGGAGTGCCTGGTCCGTCAACATCCTACGCCTCTCAAATGTACTGCGCCACTCCATCTCTCATGGTGCCAGGCCCGATGATTGGCAAGCCTGGTATGTATTTAACTCATCATCATTATCAACCTGCCCTTATTCCTATAGTCATATCTGAAATCATGAATATATTTATTTAAAATTATTTTGTAGATGACAAAGTCATAAAATTTCTGATTAATTTCAAAGTTTAAACAGAAGATGTAGATTACATTATGCATAGTTATAGATTTTAAATAATTTCCAAACAGGTCCGGAACAGATGATGGGAGCTGGTGGAGGTCCAAGCCCATCTACAAGCTACGCAGCGCAAATGTTCTGCGCCCCTCCGACTCACATGGCTCCAGTGCCCATGTTCCCCAAGTCCGGTATGTGCTTTTCTTGTATCTTAATTCTACTATATAATAGTATTGTGATACATATGTACTATGCATTTCAAATTGAACGTCAGTGACCTCTCAAAAATTGTAAATACAATTCTGTTGGACAGCAATTTTGAATGGAAATTTATATAAGCGAATTGCTTAATATGTTTTTTAGCTATCCGACTTCTATGCTAAGCTTTTTGTCTTTATTTTTTTCTATTCTGATCTAGCAAGTTTTTGTATCTGTGCTGAGCTCTCGATTTATGTTTTTTTTATTTTAAGTTGTTGTTTTTAGTTATTGTACTCTTCCACATTGGGAAAAATTTGAAAATATATTATCGAATATTTTCATATCTAAAAAAAGGGTATCGACAGACAGACGAACGAACAATGAAGTATTCCTATAAGGGGTTTTTTCCTTTTTAGGTACGGAACCCTAAATATGAAACAATATTTCAGTTTTTATGCAGTTCAGTGGAAATGCACAATAAATTAGTACTTTGATTTGTTTTTTTTTAAATCGATTGATTTAATTCTATGCTGCGATGTTTGCTGTGTCTAAATTTATTCAAAACCAACAGTAAAATATCCCTAAATTGAGTAATTTTGAATTACTTTTTAACTCCAATGAATTGAATATTTTTTAGTATTCATTATTTGGCTTTCATTTTGAATTATTAAATATAATAAGTCAAGTAAAACTTAAAGAAAAAAAATCAATGCTTTGATGCGCGATATATTTAAATATGACAAATATTTATTACTAATTGCTATGGTTATGTGAATATTTTTTTTATTATTGAAGCGATCATAAGTACAGCAGCGATTTTTTAGTTTAATAAGTTTGCTTTGCTTTTGTTCTATTGATCTTATGTTAAGTGGCATGACAGACGGACGGACAACAAAGTGATCCTATAAGGGTTCCGTTTTTTTTTTCACATGAGGTACGGAACCCTAAAAATGAAATAACAAATTGCTCAAGAGTTTGGTCCAAACTGCAAAGATTTATAAACTGTTAACTATCGTCCGCGATTTCATCCGCCCAGAATAAAAAATAGCTTAATTAGTAGACAGTGTTCTACCAGACTTTGTTCTACATCTATGACAAATTTCATCGAGATCCATGGAGCCGTTCTGGAGATAACTTCTAACAAACATCCATCCATACATTAATGAAGCGATAGTAATAATCATACTGAAAAACTTTGTATAAAGCTATACTTTATTTATAATAATGGCGCGTAATTCTTAAAACACAAGTAGGTTTTGAATGCCTTCATCGCTTGCGATCTTATAAGTGGAAAATAATTAATAATTGTTTTTTTTACTGATTGTTGCGAATGTGTTGCAAAGCTAGTCTGAAAAAATTTTTTTTTAGTCTTTTACGTTTTTATTATAACCTACCAAATTATCGATTTTTGTCAGTTCAAGTGATTTAGAAGTCTTTAGTAGAAAAATATTTTATATCTATATCAATAGAGTTTGTCTGGGCGGTTTTCCTTTCTGTGGTGTAGGTATTAAATAAAATATTTTCTCTTCAGGTCTTGCTGAGACATTCTACACTCCAGAAACTATTAGGGCCGAGATATACCAGCGGGACAAAGACATATTTGTGATGCCATACCAATACATAGGTAATAAAAATGCAATTTATACGATTTGATATTCGCTGTATTCTTTGAAGAGTTCAGAGTTCATTTGCGGTCATATGTTAAAGATCACACAAATAAACTTATTTTACAATTTAAATAGCTCGGGTTAACAGCATCTGGTAACATATTCAAATGAATTTTATCAAAGTTTATAAAGTGGTAGTGTGAGAGTGAGAAGGAAGATAATGTCTCACTCAGAGATCGTCTTTATTACTTCTAAAACACTTTTAGACAGTGTTTAGTTAAAAATGTGTTTTAACCTTTTGACAGCCGGTGATTGATATGGATGTCAACATGGTTATATGTTTCACCATAAATATGTATAAAAACACTGTTTTTTGTTAATAATTTTTCCTTGATTGGTCAAGATCTTGTATTAAATTATATTATAATAGTTTTCACTAAAGGATTTATGTGTTTTTAAGATGAAATATATTTGGATTAATCTATAACTTTTTATGGTAAAGGCCACTATGGGTGGGGGGGAACTTTACATAGGGGGTTTTGTTGGCATAAAATAATATTTTTTCAGAGTTACCAGAGCATGTGGAGATGTATACGGAGTTGATACCGTTAGAGTGCATCGGACCCCACTCTCTGACTTCATCTTATCGCGTTGCGCACCGCCAGACCGGTGAATATTTTGCTATGCGTCGTCTGCACTCGTATGCCTCGATTCCCAACGCTCGCATTGATCTCTGGAAGCAATTGGATCATCCCAATGTGGTTAGACTCCTGGAGTGCTTCCCCACCGCAGCTTTTGGTGATAACTGTAAGTATAAATTTAATGTCCGTTATACTGTTTAAACAATATATATGGGGCCTAATTTTACTCTTTTCATTCCCATCCTTTTCGCATAAAGATAGGATGGGAAATGGACTTAACGAAGGATGCATAGGAATGGGAATGATTTTGTTTCTGTGCATCTCCGTCGCTTCGCTAGTTCGGCGAATTTAAGCGGCCATTTTGTTACAAAAAAATGTAAAAAATTGTTACCGTTATAACATAGTTATTTGATATTTAATTATTTCTATATAGGCAATGTGAAAAAAAGAATGATTAGTTTTGAAAATTGAATATCCAAAAATGTTATTTAATTTTTTGTTCACACAAAAGATAAATAAAATTAATTTCTGCAGTTTTATCATCATCATCATAGCACTTATAAATTTGCATTTCATGTATCAATTATATGATTTTTTTTACATATATATATATCTTTTACAGCTTTGGTGATGGTGTATGATTATCACCCCGGCTGCGAGACGCTGATGAGCAAGTACATTCGCAACAACAACATGGGGAATTCATCTGACGCCAATGGCACTTTACATGATCCATTCTCATCTGATCCGGATGCCCCGCGTCCTTATACTCATCAGGTAACTACAACCAATAATATAATTAATTAAAAAAATATTCTTACCAATTAACGTGTGTTATAATGACGATTAATTAGAAAAAACTATACTTGTCGAATACCTCACTCTTCTAAAAAGGCTTTAGGCAACAATGAAATACAGATACAAAAATTGAATCTCGAAAAGATAACATTAAAATTATTTAGGCAAAAATGTCTAGCAGTAATAACCTCAAAACTCATAACCTTTCTAATTGACTAAGAATTTAAATGCAATAAAATCTAAAAGATTTACCTATTATATCTATATTATTTATAAAACCGCTGTGTCTGTATGTAAATGTAAAAATCATATTTCATAAATATGCACTTTTGTATGTCTGTTTGTTGATGCTGAAGCTATTTGCCTTTGTGTTATTAGTATTATTTTGTTGTATAGAAAAACGCGATGCTTCGTGCTCTGGCTTGCGGTGCATTACTCCCGGAGGCGGTTCTGTGGAGTTTCCTCGTGCAGCTGACTGCTGCCTTGCGCGCCATTCACACCGCCGGACTTGCTTGCAGGTAAACAAGATAATTTTTAATTTATTATAGCGAGACAGACATTTTATTCTAACAGTCTTAGCAGCAACAACGTTTGCTGCAAGAATGGATGCCTGGTGAAATACCATGACCACTCAGATAATATGTATGTGGTTCGGTGGCCTAATTTTAGTCCTTTTCCCTTCCTATACACTTCCTTTCTTTATAAGAAATGATAGGATGGGGAAGTGGAAGGAAAAGGGGAAATTAATAATTAAAAGTAGGTAACACATCTATAATTGGATGTCTCTGGGTAGAGGTTGTTTCGTTATTGCGGCGAATTCAGGTGGCCCCTTGCTCGTTTGCCACCTTATCATGTATAAAAAAAGTTTGAGAGTTAATGCTGTATTTATTTATACAGGACCTTGGATCCAACCAAGGTGGTGATGAACGGATGTAGAGTGCGCATTGCCTGGTGCGGTACTGCTGATGTGATGGATCATTCCCATGGCATTGACATTGTGCAGGTATTATAAGATTCAAACTTTATGTCGGCTCGACGTTAAATATTCGGAGCCGCTGTAAAGTTTGGTTGGCACTATACATATTAATAATATTATATTACTAACCTCTATATTCCATTGGACAGGCTATTAAACTGTGATGTTTTGTGTCTATTTGATTTTCGACATTTTGACGGTAACGGTAGCGGTTGGTAGTAACGTTGTAATGAACTAATAAAATAGATATATTTAAGCGAAAATAACTTAAACTGACGATTTTAAGTCAAAACGAAACAATACAATTATAATTTCCAGTGGAAATATATAGAGGTTATTACATTTTATAGTATTATTTGGTCTACTATATTGGTTTATTTTTCATAGGCCCAGCAGGAGGATTTGGTAGCTTTGGGCCGCCTGGCCCTTGCTCTCGCAATTCGCTCCATACATTGCGACAACCTGGCTGCCTCTATGGATCTAGTCGCCAGGTCTTATTCTCCTGATCTGCAGAATTTGATCATGTACGTAATTTTACTTTTTTAAATCATAAGTATTGTATATTACAGGGGTCGCCAAACTAAGATCCAGTAATCAATCGAATTTCATTGATAAAAATATTTTTTTTCTACTATATATTTTATTTTGACTAGATAGAAAGGTTGTTAACCTCTGGTTGTAACATATATTTACATATACTATCTTCTCATGCAACAGATATTTTTTTCTTGTCATTTTTCATACTATATTTATTTCATTTGTATATATTTAGATTCCTGCTGACTAAATCTCCCGGCCGACGCACCGTTACTGATCTCATGCCAATGATTGGCGCCAGGTTTTATACTCAGGTAACTTTTTTTATTCTCATATTATTAAAAGTATAAAATTCTATTCATGTACAGTAGTTTTCGTTCGCGGTGTTCTAGTTACAAAAAACTGTCATACAATAAAGAACTCCGCTATTTGCTATACATGTTTTAATCAAATCAAATGTAAAATATTATACAATGTAAAATATGCTATTATTATAATATTAACTGTGAGTTATTGCTTTAAGGTTTCAAAGTTGAATACCGCTAGTAGACGGCACTGTACAATATATATAATTGAAAATTATATTTAAGATTTGTGCGTGTTTGCGTGATAATTATATTGTTTCTGTATGCCTTATCCAGGTGGAAGCTTTGGAGCGTCGTGCCGATGTGTTTGAAGAGCAGATGAGTCTGGAAATGGATAACGGTCGTCTCCTGAGACTCCTGATCAAGCTTGCTGTCGTTAATGAACGTCCCGAGTAAGTAAAATAAGAAACAATGAATTATGGTTGAATTTCTTTACATACAATTTATCTTTTTTTAAAGAACCATGCAATATAATAATATCAGAAACTCAATATCTTAAAGAGTTCGGACTGAAGTATTTATTCTTGACCTAAAAAGTATATTAAAAAAATAAAAAAAGATCTTATAACTTTTAACTAACTTAATTTAGGTAACTTGATTTAGGTAAACTATTCTTACTAAAGTTGTACTAATTTTTTTATATACTTCCAGATTGAACATGGACCCTGAGTGGTCGGAGACTGGTGGTCGTTACATGCTGAAGTTGTTCCGCGACTACGTGTTCCATTCGGTGACTGAGGATGGGAGGCCTTGGTTCGATATGTCCCATCTCACCTACTGTCTCAACCATCTAGATAGTGGTACCAACACTAAGGTAACTAACACAAATATGTAATTATTACAACTCAGAATGAGTCCTCATTACTGAATTAAGTGTATAATTCTCGATGTAATTGTAAATTAGAATCATTGTAATTAAAAGTTGAATAAAAACCTAATTAAAAATATTAAAACTAACTAACCATGGGTTTATGTGATCTAAAACTCAGTTTAAAACTTTGAAAAAACAGATAATATGTTTTAAACGGTGATTTTAGTTTGAGAAACCCACGGTAAGTTAATTAAACTGAATTATTTATATAGTTTAACTTTTGTTAAGTTATCAAATGATGATTTAAAATTGACTAACTAGATTAATTAAATTATAATATTAATAGATTAATTTGCTTATTGATATCTGTATATACATATGTATATGAGAACTTTTTAGCTTCGAGATATTAAAATGTATTATATTTAAGGTGATGCTGATGTCTCGCGATGAACAGAGCGTGTTTGTGGTGACATACGCGGAGCTGAAACATTGCTTGAATCAGGCCGTTGAAGATGTGCTGCATACAGCCGTCTTGTAAAAACAAACGCAAGATAAAGTCGTTCCATTCGATATATATTAAGCCAAATGTCATAATATACTAACATTTTTTTTCCATCTGTAGTAGAATACTACTACAGATGATAAAAAAATGATAATATCAATAGATATTGTAGCATTTGTTCCGTTATATTTGTCTCGTTTACGTACCGACAAGTGCTGCCAGTACAGAGGTGTGGCATCGACAGACGCCCCCTCTCTCCGGCGTGTACGCTCACGCCAAACAACACTATTATGATATTTGGCTAAGGCCGATCTGTGTTTTCGGCCTACTTTCTATTTGTTGAAGTTTAATTACCAAACGGCAGATAACACAACGGCCTGTTGTAAGATCCGTCTTGGATTACGACAACGCAGCACTGAGATATATGCGATCTCATTTTTTCGAAGCGTAATATCCTAAACGGATGACGCTCTACGATTTGACAACATTTTAGGATTAGTTGGATATTTATTATAATGTGAGTGGCAACGGATACATGTTTTTAATATCTTCAAAAACGGCCACTTAAAGCTTCAAGTATCCAATTACAGTTTTGTATAGCGCCGATGCAGAACAGCCGCCTGAACAAAACGCCACAAACATTCCAAAATCACAAATATGTCGTGTGATTACAAAATTGTAAAGCGTACAATCAGCTCAAGGAATCTATCTGTATGATTTATCTTCGGTTTCTAAGACAATTCCTGTATAAAACATATTATCTCTGTTTTGTCAAAGATAATAAAACGAATGATATGTTTTGGTCTCAGAAACCAATGGTTACTCGAGGTTAAATATGAGGTGTATTAATTTTTTGAGCTGATTGTTAGCTTTGGACTGACCTCAGTCAAGTTCACATAAGTGAACATGAAGACACTGTAGTGTTACGTAGATCTGAATTTGAAATACACTCGGCCGGCTGCTTCCAGCCTACAAAAGTAGATTTATAACTCGGCACTACTAATATATTATAGAAATAAGTATATGTATAGTCCCGTAAGGATTTTAGGGCAATTTCTTAACATTGCCGGGGGAAGGGACCCCCCTTTCAATTTCTAAATATTAGCAGTAAGTAAAATTTTACCTTACTTCCGTAGTCCATGTACTTTCCACCTCATTCCACTTTATCAATTAAACTATGACTATCAAGATGACTGGTTCACTTTCTTTGGTTTGCCACAAGATTTTTGTCGAACTATACAGCTGTCAATTTATGCTGGAATGGGGTATACTTTCTATTTGCATGTCAATCTTCTCTTCATGTCGATCTTTAAATATCTTATTTATAGGAAGTAATCAGCTAATTTGCAGTAGTACTATAATAATACAGTTCAATATTAAATGTGTAGCGAATCAATGTTTTAATCAGTAGTATTAATATTTGAAAAATCTTAAATGAACTTGTCAAATTTTAGTATACAGATAATATTATCTCACACGTACGTTTTTCTCTAGGAAAAATGGTATTTATGTGTTTACGTGCACACTGTCTTTATGTGTATTAGGACCCAGACAAAAGTCGGATCACTGATGAAAAGTTAAAATCAGCACCGTAATTATTACTTACGAGATATAATTAATCAATATAATGGAAAGTAGAAATTTTTATCTATGTGTCTTTTAATATCTCTTAATGTTTTTAAATCACCACGAATAATGTGGTTTTGTAGTAAACGTATAATAAAATTAGTGGTTAGGTGTATAACATTTTGACATTGATTTTGCCCTGTTATAAAGTTCTTTTATTATCAAAGTGATCTTGTGTTTACTTTTCGTTAATTTTATTATAGCTATTGCAAATTCCGATCTACGTAGAGGTTGCAACTACTCTACATCACAAAATTAAATTGATTTAATAATATTTTGATATAATTTTAAGTATATATTTTTTTTAAGAAATTCAAATAAAGAATAAGTCATTAATCAGTGTTTTATTTTCGTAACATTTAATCATCCTAATGATCTGTATGTTGTTGAATGACATGGATAGTGTTGGTGTACAAATGTTGAGATTGATTACAAGCCGTATGCCTACGATAGGTACCAAATATTAGTACAGAAGTAATACTCATTAAGAAGCTACTTGTATAAATATCGAAATAATAATTTTTAATAAATAAAGACACACGAGGCGTTGCTTTTTAGTTTAAATTGGTTTTATAGTGATGGAAAATATATAAGTCCAAAAACCAAAAAATCGATTTTGAAGTATCGGTAATTTTGACTTGTTTATAAAAATACCGATTTTCAATATTCTTTCCGATTACAACCGGTATTAGGAACGTTACTTCAAATGTGACGTGACGTTTTATGATTTGAAGTTTTGAAGTATTTGTGTTTGTGTGTCAAGTTATTTTAACTGTTTAAATTTTTAAAGTAATTTTGCTAAATTTCAATGACTCGCAGCTCGCAGGCACTTATAAATGAAAGAATTTAAAGAATAATGAACGTCAAAATATAGTAACGAAGTGTTTTAGTACTAGAAATTATTCTATGAGTTGTTTTAAAATTTTACGTGTCACAGTACTAAAACTTTGATTTGTCATCTATTTATTAAACGTGGTATATAAAATTTTATATTTAAAATTTAACTACAGTTAGAATTAAGTGTCTTCGAAAGTTGTCTTTAAAATCATTAACCAATTGAGCACAAATATCAGCAAGAATGGGGTTAGGAGGTTATTCGATGTCGGGGAAGAAATCTTTGCTGTGGGCTTACATTCTATGGCTTTTTGGCGGTATATTTGGTCTACATCACTTTTATCTAAGACGGGATAGACATGCTTTTGTTTGGTGGACAACTTTGGGCGGTTTTGGGATCGGATGGCTGAGCGAGGTGTTTCGTCTCCCACGTTATGTCAAAGATGTGAACGAAGATCCCCAACAAATGCAAGAGGTGATAAAGAGAATCCATCACAACAAGAAGGTAAGACTATTAAAGGTGTTAAGGTTTCTATTTATAACTTGGTTGATTGGCTATACATGATGCAAATGTATGAAGTATTAAGACAGTGTTGTTCTCTATAATTAAATAAATAATAATAATGATTAGGCTTGACAATGAGATTGCTTAACATCCTGCTACCATAATATATGTATTAAATTAAAAATAAATGTATCTTTAGTAACTGTTAATAACTTTCAGCCACCTTTCTCAATGAATCGCTTCACTGGAATGTTGATGGTGGGCTACTCGTGGGGGCAAATGATGATGTCAGCAGTACCACCTGATAACTTTTGGGGTATCAATTTAAGATATCTCAACTATCTCATACCCTTGGTGACAGCACTAGGTAAGATATGATGACATATTGCCAACATATTTACTGAAATGATTTAATTTCTACTTATTAGATGTATATATTTGGTGGGTAACTGATCAAATTTTATGTGAAACTTGTTTAATCTAAATAATAGTAAAATGTATCCATTTAGGTCTTGAAAAACAGCATATACAGTAGAAACTGGATAAGCAAGAAACTGTATAAATGAGTCATTGTCCTGCGCCGTCTGGCTTATGGCCCTCTAGCCTCCATATGTCAGAAACTTGAGTTAGAATGAAACCCTTTTAAGCGAGAAAAATATTGTGGTCCCTTGGACTCTTGCTTAAGCTGGTTTAACTGTATGTGCATTATGGTATTAGTGTATTGGTATCCAATTTATGAAACAATTTTGTAACTTATAGGTGTGTGGACAGTGGGTAATATTGGAAGGGAGCAAGGTTCTCTCAAGTGGCCATTGTTGGCTGCGTACGCTTCATATCCAATACGCTTCTACATTTACGATGAAACTGTCTGGTTCACATTAATGGTTCTAGCAACTGCACTTACCTTTGATTCCTTTTCCAAAGAGTGGAGAAGGACACCAAAGAGGCGCAATCTTCCTACGTGAGTGTAAAATAATTTTTTATCTTTTCTTACATATCAGTGAGTTTTTAATATAATGGTCTTTAATTGTATAATTAGTTTAAAGTTTTTAATCTTTAATTAGCTGTCACTTGCTACTCCATCAAGGCAGAATTAAAAAAAACTCAATAAATAGCCTTTGTGTTCGTCCAGACTAAGTTTGACTACTATAACAAATTGCAACGACATCCATTAAGGCGTTCCTGAGATACCTTCAAACAAACATCCATCCATCGAAATATTCGCATTTATAATATTAGTAAGATTAACAGGCATTTCACAACCTTTGTTTTCATTGTACAGGTAATTTGTAATTTCCGTTTGTTCGCAGACGACTTGCTATATTGGGGGTGTGCGCAGTACTGTATTTGTCAATGTGGTGCAGCTACTTATACTTCTATGGTACTATTACTGACAGTGAAGGCGATGAAGTGCCTATCTACGAAGCATTGTATCACTTCTTTACAAGCCCATGGTGAGTTTACATTTAGCAATTATTGCTGACACAATTCAATGTCTTGTAAAATGTATAAGAAACTAAGAAATCTCTGATAATTTATATCTTTTAATTTAATTAAATAATATAATAGTCTTATGACATACAAATGAGCAAATAATTAAGGTTATTTGACCTTAAAATTGCATTTTTCTTAGACACGCACATAGGTCACATATTCAAGGTTTGTGCAAATTTCAACTAACTGTGCAGTTTGTTATTTCCAGGTGGTTAGATGTAAAACAATGTCTCCTGGATACTTACCAATATGCTCAACATCACGGATGGTACGAGGTGTGGAAGCAAATCATTGACCTATCTGATCCACACGGAGAACAAAATGCATATAAAGTAAGTACAACGTAAACGTTTTAAGCAAACAATAATCAATGTAGAATCCAGCCATGAAATAACCCGTGTATCTAATTTGTATTTCATAGTTTTTTTCTCTAACAGTAGGATGATTTGTTTTGTGGGTGCGTTTAAATGTCAATTATATTGTAACTTATTATGATATTCTGATGAATGAGGTGTTATTCAATTCTTATTATTTCCCAGAATGTCAGAAGGATCAGCTGGATCTATTGATTTTGTTTGAATAGTATTAGATATCGCTTTAACATCTTCGCACGTATTGGCCCGGCTTGTCCGGTGAAATACTACGACCACACAGAAGACACGTTTCAAATGGAATCTATTCCAACTACAGTCTGATGAGTGTGCGTCCCCGAGGCCTAATTTAGACCTTTTTCCCTTCTCATCCTTTTTCTTATAAGGAAAGGATGGGAAGTTGAAGTGGACTTTTCGGATGAGAGGATGCATGGGAAGGGAAAATATCCGTTTATCCGTCGGTTAAAGGTAGGCAACGCATATGTAATTGCGTATGTCTATGGGCAACGGTCACTTCGCTATTTCAGCGATTTCAGGTGGCCGCTCGCTCGTTTGCCACCTTATGATATAAAAAAAAAATTGTTTTAATAACTAAAACTTTTAATATTTCTCCAAAGGTATTGGGCCTCGGACCGACGGCGACGCAGCAAGAAATCACATCCACATGGAGAAAATTGTCTCGTGAGAATCATCCGGACAAAGTGAAAGATCCAGTTCAAAGACGTTCAGCTCAAGAAAAATTCATGGAGATCCAGCAAGCATATGAAATACTTTCCAATAGTAAACATAGAAGGAACCGTCGCAATAAAAAAGATAATTCAGAGCCTATGCCTACTAAAGAATAATTGCATTTGCTTCAATTAATGGACTTTAAAAGCCCCTTAGTGTAGATCAGCACTAAAATAGCTTTTTAAATTTTTCGTTAAATGAGTGTGGTTAATTTAAATTTTTACAATAAGGTTGTAATTAGAAAGATCTGAACATATTTTTATATCTTAGCATTTTTGTACTATTTTAGAACACTATTAGAATACACGACTGAAATGCATTTATACATCTTAAGATACTAATATTTTGGTCTTTTTATTTTTTTAACTTTTTAATATATTAAGGTTTTAACCTCAAGTTCATCCACCAGAGATATTTTTAAATGATTAACGATTACATTCTAATAATATATTTTATAAAATTTTAATTCGAATAATATTGAATTTATGTAATTAATCTCATATATATATAATTTAAGTAAATAAATGATTATTTGTATATAATATAACTCATATTTTGCTCATTATATTTAAATGTACAATTTTTAGTAGAGTTTTACTTCCAATTTGTTATTTTAATACAGAATAATTTATTTTTTATTAATTTCCTTTTGTATAAGATATTTAAAATTAATTTGAAATATTTTTTTATCTATCACGTAATGGTTGTGGCAACTATAAAGGCTTTTATATTCATGTATTTTGATCAAAATATAAGATTTTCAGAAGTATTTACAGATTTGTATTTTATTAGTATTTTTAACTTAATATAATGTAACTAAGTAATTTGAATCTCAGTTTGATTCTTAAACATATGAGACTGTTTCGCAATTAAAGCCGTCCAATTTTTGTACTTAACATTCCATTTTATCAATTTTATTAATTATTAATTATAATAATCGTATAAATTATTAAATTATAATTATAAATGTAATAATTATATCAACAGAATTATATAAATTCGTTATGATTCTTAAATTTATTTATTTAATAAAGCATAGTACTGAATTTTATTTTATTTCTTTACCTTTAATATAATATAAAGGAAATAATATGATTGTCGAAAGATAAGCCAAGATGAGTTAGGGAGCGTCGGTGGCTCAGTGGTCAAGCACTTGATTTGCAATCTGCAGGTCCTGGGTTCGAATCCCGCCATGTACCAATGTGTTATTCGATTTCCGATTTACATATGCACATTTATCCGACGTTCTTACGGTGAAGGAAAACATCGTGATGCTGCACATATCTGAGAAGTTCAAATATATGTGTGAAGTCAACCCGCACTTGGCCAGCGTGGTTGATTACCTAATCACCCTTAACTTAGTGTAGGCTCCGAGCCCCTCGGTGGAGACGTATAGTGAGCTGATGATGATATATTTATAGTACAAATACAGTTTTAAAGGCGACAACAATAATTGGACAAAATTTTATTTATTTTGGAGTTACTAAGCACATCTAAACGTGTTGAAAAGTAATGTGAATGAATAAATGGTCTATTATTGACATGAGGACTTGTACACTTAATAAAAATAATAATTTTAATAAAAAAAATTAATTTTATTTATATTTGATTTTTACCATACTATTTGAGTCCAAGAAGTTATTTTCCTATACCACAGAAATGAGTGAATGTTGATAGGAACCTTTTTTTTTCTTGAAGAGGGGGAATGCGTTACGCATACCGTGTTCCTCGGGGAAAGCCACTCCTGTTATGTGGGACTCTCTCCAAATCCCTAAAGGGACAAGGAGCCTACCCACTAAACCCCCTCTGGTTCCCTCGACTCACTGTTTACCGGGATGTGGGCACATGTAAATAATCTTCGCACACATGTTGATAGGAACCTTGGCCCATAGATGATTACTCATTAGAATTTGAAGGATCACGATTTGGATAGAAGGATGTTTGTTAGAAGTTATCCAGAACGGCTGCATAGATCTCGTTGAAAGGACTATTGCTTACATCTATATGTTAAACATATTCTGGATGAACACAAAGGCTACTAATTAAATTATTTGAATACCGGGCGGACGGACGGGTTACGGTTGGTGTTTTTATAAACATGTTTCGGCAGTGAAAACTTATGGTTCGACGATCTTATAAAGACCATAATGATTATCTAGCAATATTATCTTAATTCATAGTTTTACGAATTGGCCCGTCTCGCCCGTTGAAATACCACGACCACTCAGAAGATAGGCGTGAAGTGGAAGCAATTCCGCGTTTCGACTGATGAGTATGCTTCCCGGAGAACTAATTTAGACCTCTTTTGTTGTAAGGAAACGATGGGAAGTGGAAGTGGACTTTCCGGATGAGAGGATGCATGGAAAGGGAAAATATTTTCTTTCCGTGCATCCTCCCCTCCGTCGATTAATGGTAGGCAACGCATATTCAATTGCCTATGTCTATGGGCAACGGTCACTTCGCTATTTCAGCGATTTCAGGTGGCCGCTCGCTAGTTTGCCACCTTATGATATATAAAAAAAAGTCGTAAAACTACACACATTGCCTGTGTCAAAAAGTTATTGTCAATAACATGATATGGGAAAAAGTAATTTTTACATTATTACATATGAAAAAAAATTCCGTATCCCGAATCATGGTCACATTACATGGTTGGTAATCCGATAGACTCCCATCGAAAATTGTGGTAACCCTATCCTTTAATGAGTTATTGATCCAGACTACCAGCTATATATCGCTGTCTCTTTCCCCCGGTGCGGTGGAGCCTTGTCGGGATATTTAAAAATATTATTATTTTTGTATAAGAATGAAATGTATAAGTAAAAATATAAATTTCTACAATGTAGTTACGTTCCAAATAACACTAAAGTTGCATTTAATTCAGATAAACAAAAATCTATCAATTAATACGTATTAAATAGAATTTTATTCATTACAGTTTAGTTAAATTAACACATAAATAATTTATATTTAGGAATAAGACATTTTTTAAACATTAACCATCGTTTTTTTTTATTTAGCATGTCTTCAAATTACCAAATTGTTATATTTTATTCAAATTCTTTCATGAAAAAATACTATAATGTTTTTATCTTTGTTGCTGTAAGTTGAAACCAAAGACAATGGGCATAAGATATATTATTTTGTGCCAAAGCGTTACGGACCTTTTTCCAAAAACTTCTAAAATTAAAAGAAAAATTACTTTCAAAGAAATATAAATCATTTAGTTTTATCATTCGTATTATAACATTCAATAATAGGCAATTCTTTTATTTTGTATTTAATGTAAAATTACTTTATTAAATCATGGTTACTTTACACGGTGTGATATGGTCACTCTATACAATTAGAACAGTCCAACACGATTGTCTGTCTCTATCCTGGTGCGGTGGAGCCTGGCAGGAGATATCAAATAAATATTTATTTTATATGGTTTTTCATTTTAACTATATCTGTGTCGATAGATAAATTAATATATGTTACTGATGTTAGATATTTATATCATTATAGTTTTCTCTAAGAATTAAGACATTTTCTACTATTACAGAAAAAATAAGAAATCAAAAGTCGTTGAAAAAAGTTGTTGCCACTTCAAATCTTGCTAATATTACACATTCGAATGGATGGATGGATGGATGGGTGAATGTTTGTTAGAAGTTATCTCCAGTACGCCTTTTGGCAGAAAAAATAACATAATAAATATGGTGATCACATTTAAAACGACTAAACTGATATATAAACACGGCTAAACACTCACGTATATACGTCCGGTGTGTGTTTAGTCGTGTTTATATATTAGTTTAGTATAATGTCTCACGAAAGGTTGAATCATTTAAAACGACTTTGTACAATTGGGCAATATCGGCTTACTATATATTGTCATCTGAATCCACTGACTTGTTAACAATAATTTAGTAAAAATAGGACATTTGATTTTATCATGGTCACCCTATCTTATAGAATGTTCTCGAATGGTGTGGGCAGTCTATTCAATTGCGAGTATTGATTTAACAGCGCCATAATGATTCGCTTTCTCTTTCCCGCCGGGACGGTGGAGCCTGTGCTGATAGTATTAAATAATATTATTTTTTATTATTGAAAGTGAAAAATTTATAAATAGGTTTTAATGTCTTGATTATATATAATTTGAGACAGAGGGCGTGAAAGCATCCGTACAAATACATTTTTATATCATAAAGAGCTGTTTGAAGTGGAGAAAACCCGGGTTCTACTTCGTTATGGATGATGTCTTCCAAAGTCGATCAATTGGCGGTCCTTACGTATTATTACTTTTGTTTAATTATCAAATAGCTTAGTAAAGAAATATATTTCTACTAGATAGATACATTCCAAAATAACGTTGCATTTTAATTCAGATGAACAAGAATATATAAATTACCTTTTAACAATTAAAACGTATTTTGTTCATTACAGTTCAATTGAATTAACACATAACGACTATAATTAGGAATAAAACACTTTTAATATATTAACTATTGTATTATTTTGTAATGCAGATCAATTAAAATACGTAATTTTTTATCAAGTTATTTCACGAAAACTTAGCATGATGTCTATTTCTCATTCTCCCGCATTAAGTACGAGCCAGAGATGATGACGGAATTAATTTCTATTTTGTACCAAAGCATCAAGAACTATTGAGTTTTATCATTCGTATTACAACATTCTATAATCGGTAATACTTTTATTTTGGATTTTTTGGAAAAATAATTTATTAAATCATGGTTACTTTACACGGTGTGATGTGGTCACTCTATTCAATTAGAACAGTCCTACACGATTGTCTGTCTCTATCCTGGTGCGGTGGAGCCTGGCAGGAGATATCAAATAAATATTTATTTTATATGGTTTTTCATTTTAACCATATCTCTGTCGATAGATAAATTAATCTATGTTACTGATGTTAGATATTTATATCCTTATAGTTTTCTCTAAGAATTAAGACATTTTCTACTATTAAAGAAAAAAATAAAAATCAAAAGTCGTTGAAAAAATTTGTTGCTAATTTAAATCTTGCTAATATTATACATTCCAATGGATGGATGGATGGGTGGATGTTTGTTTGAAGTTATCTCCAGTACGGCTGATAAAATCCGGCTGAAGTTTGGCATAGACGCAGAATATAGTCTGGAAGAACACATAGGCTAATTAGTTTTTTTTTTATTTTGTGGGGACGGAGTCGCGTGTGACAGCTAGTAAAAATGTAATATAATAATTAGTACATGTATTTTTATCTTCTGAAACAGATATTCCCTACACTAGAGATAATTTGATTAAATGAGAAATTAATGTTGTGTTGGCAGAAAAAATAACATAATAAATATGGTGATCACATTTAAAACGACTTTGTACAATTGGGCAATATCGGCATAGTATATATTGACTATGGCCTAGTCACCCTTAACTTAGGGTAGGCTCCGAGCCCCTCGGTGGGGACGTATAGTGAGATGATGATGATATATTGTCATTGGAATCCACTGACTTGTTAACAATAATTTAGTAAAAATAGGACACTTGATTTTATCATGGTCACCCTATCTTATAGAATGTTCTCGAATGGTGTGGGCAGTCTATTCAATTGCGAGTATTGATTTAACAGCGCCATAATGATTCGCTTTCTCTTTCCCGCCGGGACGGTGGAACCTGTGCTGATAGTATTAAATAATATAATTTTTTATTATTGAAAGTGAAAAATTTATAAAAAGGTTTTAATGTCTTTATTATATATAATTTGAGACAGAGGGCGTTTAAGCATTCGTACAAATACATTTTTATATCATAAAGAGCAGTTTGAAGTGGAGAAAACCCAGGTTGTACTTCGTTATGGATGATGTCTTCCGAATTCGATCAATTGGCGGTCAAAACGTATTATTACTTTTGTTTAATTATCAAATAGCTTAGTAAAGAAATATATTTCTAAAAGATAGATACATTCCAAAATAACGTTGCAATTTAATTCAGATGAACAAGAATATATAAATTACCTTTTAACAATTAAAAAGAATTTTGTTTATTACAGTTTCATTGAATTAACACATAACAACTATAATTAGGAATAAAACACTTTTAATATATTAACTATTGTACTATTTTGTAATGCAGATCAATCAAAATACGTAATTTTTTATCAAGTCATTTCACGAAAACTTAGCATGATGTCTATTTCTCTTTCTCCCGCGTTAAGTACGAGCCAGAGATGATGACGGAATTAATTTCTATCTTGCACCAAAGCATCAAGAACTATTGAGTGTTCTCATTCGTATTACAACATTCTATAATCGGTAATACTTTTATTTTGTATTTTTTGGAAAAATAATTTACTAAATCATGGTTACTTTACACAGCGTGATATGGTCACTCTATTCAATTAGAACAGTCCAACACGATTGTCTGTCTCTATCCAGATGCGGTGGAGCCTGGCAGGAGATATCAAATAAATATTTATTTTATATGAATTTTCTTTGCAAGAATTATTAATTGATATTCAGTATTATTCTAACTAATACTGTTACTACGAATGTTTGTATGGATGTTTGTTACCAGGTATAATTTGAAAACCTCTAAATGTAAGTCTTAAAAATCAAAGATAATATTTATTTTTGTTTGTAAGAACTATGAATCTTGTCTTTAGACTTCTTTAATGAAAATCACGTAATCACGTTTTACATTTTCTTTCTTTAATTGAGAGAGGAAAAAGATGATAGTTTTACCTTATTTTACTGGTATAAAATAAGCAAATATATATGCGAAAGTTAATATGGATGGATGATATTAATGGATCTGGATGACATGCACAAATTAAGATTGAAATAGCACATAGGCTTCTTATTACAGTTTTTTTTATTACAAGACCCTTGGATTACTATTTCAGTGCTTCTGCACCACCGATGTATTTTTTTTTAATAATTCGTGATAAGATAAGTGGTAATGAATATATCCATAATGATAGTTATGAGTATGATACTGGTAGAGGGTTATTTTATCCTTTGCTTGTTTTTTAAGTAAGGAAATTTAGCTTCATTAAAAGAAAAAATAATAATTGAAAAATCGGAAATCGAACTTCGTACAGTCGAGTAATGTTCGCGTAGAACACCATAGCGACATATGGTGGGATGACAAAAAAATCAGAAGTTTTGCAAACGATAATAATAAATATAGGACTTTTGCTTTTTACATGGTTAACCTATCTTTTAGAATTTCCTCGAACAGCGTGGCCTCCTTGTTACGTAATCTCTATTGATTCGAGGAGTATGGAAACATTCTCTATCCCTTTTCAATAGAAACGGTGGAGCCATGTCGGTAATATTTTATATTATTATTTTTGATTAATGAAAAATTTAAAGTAATTAAATATATTAATACGAGTTGATTACATGTCATTTAAGATCGAGCTGATTAAGGCAGTTGTACCCAAACATCTTTATACTGTAAAAAACAACAAAAATAGAGATTTTTCGTCTTGTTTACTAGAAGAGGGTGATCCAGGCTATATTTTTTAGTTTCCTCCAACCTTGGGACCAATCTTTAAATAGAGCGCTTCCAATAAACTCTATTCTAAGACGATATTTGTTTTTTATTCTTATATATTAATGAAAAATGAAACAAAGCAGAATAGCAAATTAGCAAATTGGCTACGACCGATAATTTAGTTATATTGTGTATGATGTGTGAAATGACCAATCACATCGTTTCTAGTTGTTCTTTGTGTGAATTCCGTAAGTTTTGACCTCATTATACCAAAAAGTCAACTAAGTCGTAGCACTAATAAGATATATTAGGTAAAATTTTTTGTTTTTTTTTTGTTCTTTTTTCTGGTGAAGGAGATAAACGTTAAAATAATAAAATAATTGTATATTTATTGGTAGAAAGGGTAGTAGCACATCATAGTATCTTGGACGGATGATAAAAAAATCTGAAGTCAATTGAATTATAATGAAAAATAATAAATATAGGACTTTTGCTTTTTACATGGTTAACCTATCCTTTAGAATTTCCTCGAACAGCGTGGCCTCCTTGTTACGTAATCTCTATTGATTGGAGGAGTATGGAAACATTCTCTATCCCTTTTCAATAGAAGCGGTGGAGCCATGTCGGTAATATTTTATATTATTATTTTTTTAGTATAGAAAAGTGAAAATTAAAGAAATACATTTTTACATCTTGATTATATATTATTTGAGACAGAGCCCATCACAGCATCGATACCAAAACATTTTTTTTCTTTTAGAACAATAACTAGAGGTTAAACTTTGATTGATTAAAGATAAGCAATTTGCAATTGCAGATGTCCATGGGCAGCTATCGCTTTGCTATTTCTGGCGAATTCAGAAGATTTAAGTTTTCTCGTTTGCCACCTTTAAGTATAGAAAAACTAGCTGTCGCACGCGACTCCGTTTACGCGGAATTAAAAAGAACTTAATAAATAGGTTATGCGTTCTTCCAGTCTAAGTTCATACGTTTCGGAGATCACTTCAAACATCCATCCATCTAAACATTCGCATTTATAATATTAGTAAGATTTACTTACAGCTTTAGTATGGGTTTGGTCTCGGAGAAAAATAAACAACACGATTAGTTTTATTTGAATTTCATTTATCAATGTTTTGATATATAGCTATATTTGAATCACTGTTTATATACAAATGTAAGTCAGCCATGTTGATGATTAAAAAAAATTTCGTACAATAAAATCATAAACTAAAATCGTATCTAAGATATTATGTGGACTATAAAACTACACAGACATACGTAATAAGTTTATTTTGATGAGAAAACAATTTTATTATATGTTTTAAAGTATTCAAATATCATAAATCCACAAAAATATATTCGATAGATAATAGTATTGTAAAATGATTAATTACTCAATATATGAAATGGCACAATAATTTGGAACTCCCACTCGTCTGAAAACTATTGATAATAATTTAGTATGTATTTTTTACATACAAACAACACTATTATATATCATTAGATGTTTATATATTTTCTACAAAATTATATTTTATTTACACGTTACATGGCATACGAGGGTTTGGTCTAAAAAAAAGAAACTAATCTACTTATCTACAATTTAACATATAAAAATATATTTGCATTTCAATTGAAAACATTTTGAGCTTATTTTGTGCTAAGACTTTTGAATGTTTACATGTTTTTGCTATAAATACATAGTTTTAATATTTTCATTTCTATATTATGTACAACGCAGTTTAGTACCACATGTTTTGGAAAAAAAAACAGGTAAGGGCAAGCAAATTTTTAGCAAGTATATGGCCCTAAATAACAAACGGCTTTTTAGTGGCAAGATACATTTTACGTAATCTGGATAGTCAAATATTACATTTTTTATACCAATTGAACAAATAACACGATGTCTTATATTTTTCGGTACAATCGTTATAGAAAGATTTGATGGTCTATTTTAATGTATGCTTGTAAATTAATCTAATTATCACAGTTTAAAATTAAAATAACACTCTCTTAAAACTAAAACATTCGGAAAACGTAAACATAGCCATCCTTATACTATATTAATAAATAACTCATATTTTGTTTGTGCATCATATTATGAGCACCGAATTCCAAATATATTTTACAAAAATTCAGTTATTTTTTACATAACAGTACCTTTACAAAATATTAAATAGAAAAGATAACAAATTGTTTTTTTTTTTAAATTAATAAATTTTTTACTCTGAAAGTTTATCAACAAACTAATACTAGCCATCGCTCAATGGCACGGGGTGCGCACGCGCGCAATATTAAGTAAAAATCATAACTTGCGAGAGATCAGTCTGTTTGTTCGCGTGAAGAGGGGAAGGGGATTACAACCGAACACTACACCGTGGTTTCGTTTCTACGAAGTGGTTGCAATTCGCGTTGCAAGTCGTTGTAATATTCGTGATCAGACATCGATTCCTCTTCTACAGATCTCTGGGGCAAGTATTTACTTGTGCCCGGTTGCGGTGTTGACTCACTACCGCTACCTTCGCTTGTACATAACGATTCTAGAGGCGCCGGCTCCTCTGTCGGTATGCCCAATGTCTGCACTGGTTCAGTTTGATCAGACATCAAGTATTCAGGATTGTCGATACATCTCTTTGAACTCACGTAACCTGAATAACGCAAATCCTTGCTCTCCTGGCTCTCACCACCTTCGCTTATCAAATCCATATAAGTGGAGGCGTTTTGATTATGCTGCGGCGATGGCATGAGATAATCGTCCTCATCTAAGGGTAGGTTCAATTTTAGATTACCCACTTGAGCTTCTTTTATCTTGGACATACTGTCAAAATTGTTGTCTAAACAGTTGGAGCAATCAGATGCGTATACTCGATTGTTGAAATAGTGTCTCAATTCGCCGTCTGAATTGGCTTGATTGTATCTAAGTAAATCTTGATCCCAAGTCTCAGGTTTGCCAGATCCATCGATAGCAGCGCCATCTGGTCCAGTTGCGTTGTTTGCCCAAGACGAAGAAGAACACGGTTTCAAAGAGTTGTTGTTCTGTGATTCGACACCGGCGTTCATAGCGGTACCGGGCATGCCCGCACCGGAAACTGCTTTTAGTTTTGGTTGGAGATACTCATCCGCTTCCACTAAAGGTTCAGGACCTTCAATTGCTGATGAGAGCGTTTTGATCAGTTCCTTTTCATCCTGAAACGTAATAAATTAATATTTATATTATCTTATATCTTTAAGTGAGCATTGGAATCTCGGAATCGGCTCCAACGATTTTCATAAAATTTAGTATATAGGTTTCGGGGGCGATAAATCGATTTAGCTAGGAATTATTTTTAGAAAATAACAAAACAAAAAAGAAAAATAACAAAAAGAACTCAAAAATATGACTCTTCCTGACATCTATTGGCGAATAATAATACTATTTTTTGTGTGCAACTAATTGCTTTAACGACACAACAGCAGATGGCGTTGTTAAATATTGAAAAATATTCATATTTCATCATTTTATTAGTAATTCGTTCGTTCATTCAGATTTTATGTATATTATAGAAGAAAGTTTAAATAATAAATATAAATAAAATAACATTTTAAATATTAAGTTTTGTAACAAATCGATCAGAGAGCCTTCCAAAAACATAACCAAATGAAGTTGCCAGGATTAAACTTTGTATTGAAGGGAGATAAAATTTCTAATTATGAATTATAATAACAATAGTAACCTGCAATACCTGTGTAGAATAGGATGGTAGTCGCATAAACTTGTCCCCAGGTATGACGAGGTATCGACCAGGATCCCTAGCCATTTCTGCAAACGTGTCTGCTAGCTGTTTAAATGTAGGTCTACTATCCGCGTCCAGCATCCAACATGACACCATCACACAATAAATGTCTAATGTACATATGCTAGGTTGTGGAAGTTTCAGACCATTCTCTATCAATTCGGGGACATCTCTAGCAGATATGTTAGCATACGGCCGTGCACCGTAACTCAATATCTCCCATATGGTCACGCCAAATGCCCAAACATCACTTTTGTGTGTGAATATCCTGTGAAGGACACATTCTAACGCCAACCATTTAATCGGCATCTTACCACCAGCCGCTTTATATTCGTCTTCATTTATATCTAAAAGTTTCGCTAAACCGAAGTCAGTTATTTTAACGCAATTTGGCGTCTGTACTAAAACATTACGAGCAGCTAAGTCTCTATGAACTAGTCTTTTCTCTTCTAAATATGCCATGCCCCGAGCAATTTGGGTGCACCAATTTAGAAATGCTTTAGAACCTATCTTCTCTTTATGTGTTCGCACGTAATCAAGCAAGTTGCCAAGTGGCATCAGCTGAGTTATAAGCATCATTTGATTTGTCATACAAACAGCCAGTAACTGAAGGAGATTAGGGTGCTCAACGCTGGCCATTATGTAGGCTTCTTCTAAGAACTCTTTGCTAGAATTTGCCCCCGTACCCTCTTTCAGAACTTTAATTGCAACAGGTATTTTAACATTTTCGCCTTCTGGTACCCAAACTCCTTTATAAACTTCACCAAAAGCACCGTAACCAAGTGTACCTCCTCGCCGCAATTCGGCTTCTTTTACAATTCGTAGTTTTGCTAAGTTAGGTTTCACGTTAGTCGGTCGAAGTGGCTCGTTGTCTTCGCAACCAGTCAGAACCATTGTCATCTTAACAGCTTCCTTCTTAGCTTTAGCTTTTTGTCGATATGTATATCCGATAATACCAAGTATCATGAACAGAATGAAAGCTAAAACAAGGACTATCACTAGTACGGTAGGAATATTCGCAGTAGCCATAGTATGAGAGCCGCTTGCTAATTCAGAGCAGTATGGTTCCTCAATAGGGTTTTCTACGAGTTCATCAAAATAAATTTTGTACGGTTTATCTTCTGGACAATTTGCAGTACAATTAAAAGCTTGATTTGGATGAACTGTGGTCGTTTCGCCGGGAATAAATATTTTTAAATTTTGACACTTGACGCAATCAGTTGATAACGGCCCAGTGCAGCCACGACACTCATGGTGACAAGGCGTACACAATCTGTTGACTTTGTCTGTGAAATGATCAGCAGGGCATTCGTCTTCACATTGATCACCACGTTTAAATCCATTACACACCTGACATACTTGTTGATGTATTCCAAAACCGGTACACTTGATGCATAAAGGATGGCATTTCCTGCAAACTACTTTTACTTTTCCTTCGAGAAGCTTTACATTGCCCACCCATTCATTATAATAGCCGTCTGGGCATGGTTCATTTTCTTTGAGGCAACTTTCGACTGTAGCTTCCACGCTAATGATGGCTTTCTTACATGAATAGCATCCACCAGGGCCGACTGTGTTCGCTGGGCCTGTGCAGCCATTGTAGCAGTTGGCGTGACATGGTTGACATGTTCCGTTTTCTGAAGCATATCTCGACTCGGGACATTCTGCAACGCAGTATGGACCGTCGCGTACGTGTTTGCATTTCGTGCAGTTCGCTCGACTCGGTCCTGAACATCCATCTAAACATTCGGGATGACATTGCTTGCAAGTTTTCGGGCCGGCTTGATATAGCCTGGAAAGATAAACAAGTATTTATAAAAACATGATATTTATAACACGTATTTGTGCATATTACAGTGGAATCATTGTATATTTTAGAGAGTTGCGATATCTAACAATGGGAACAAAACCGAGTTAGGCCGTCGAACCGGTAAGAGTGGGCAACCCACACATTAACTCAGTTTTGTTATGTTAATAAGGTTGCCATGTTGAATGAAGTTTGCTACCCGAATTTGATACATAATATTATTCTAACAATTAACAATAAAGTGCACTTATTTATTATGATCTATATTAGTAATATTTATCAAAAGTTCCTAATGAAACTAAAATCCTAAAGAGAAATCAGAACTCTTGTATAAGTGTGTCAGCGACATTGAATTCATTCTCGAGTCAACGTTATAAGAGTACTAATTTGTGCTTGTACCAAGTGTGTCTTAATTATTCACACATGTTTATATAGTATATCCAAATCAAAATAAGTTCTAAATTAAAAAATAAAAACAAAGAAATTCGCATAGCATATGTATATCCGACTGCGGGAACACGTCACGATGGTCTGAAAAAAAATCAATAAAAATATTGTTTGTTTAATTTATGCTAAAGAATAAATCAGTCAAATACCAACCCTGGCAGTACACTGCAATTCTGTATGCAGATTTCGCCGAACTTATAGTTTTCGCAGGAGAGACATTGCTCAGGTCCCGGCCCCCAGCATCCGTCCGGTGAACATTGATGATCGCACACCAAATTTGCACTTTCTGTTCGACAAAGAGGGAACAAAAACATGTTAAACAACTCCAAAAGGAGCTTATAAACATGTAAACAAACTTGTGCTTACAAGTGTTTACAAATCACGCATAGCATTAATCCAGCTTCATTGTTAATAGGGTTAGTTAGTGTCAAATCGATATTTGAAATGTTCATTGAAAAATAACAACTGCTATTTTGCAAATTCGCTTATGCAAATTATACAGATTTTGATATTTGAAATCGCAAATGCTTTTTATACTAATTATGAGGATCCCCATTACGCATAGCTTATCACAAAGTATACTCACCACAAGTTTTAGGATCGCCATTCTTCTGAATTATTTGCTTATGATCCTTCGATTTGCCGAGTTTATTCCAAGCAATTTTATCAGCAAAGCAAAGATATTTATTCTCCATGATGGCTATGGCTCCAGAATTGACCCTCTTTAATGATTTTAGTCCCAATGAACGCAACGAAGTTTTGACTATGTACAGTGAGGCGAAAAGATTTTCTACAACTTGTCGACCTCCAATCACTTCCAAATTTCTAAAATATGATAAACTAGTGAAATTCGGATGGTGAGCCTGAACGTTCAAGTAGCCGGTGACTTCGCGAACAGTGCTGAATACCTCCAAGCTATCCGGTTCCATTTTAGGATAACGGTCGCCAAATGAATAATCCGGGTTTATATGTTGGAATCCCGTAAATGTCATTTCTAAAATTTCTATTGATCCATCAATGATGGTACAATCTTTGAAACTATCAATGTTTCCAGAATGAATAGGTTTCTCTGCCCGACATGTCTTAGGACAGGTGACATTACACGGTATACACTCTCCATTTACGGCAGTCTTGTTTGGAGGGCAACTTCTCACACACGCGCCATTGTCTTTTAATAGATGTTCCGGACAATTGCGCACGCATGTCGCTCCGTAAGCGTACTTTCCATTAGGGTTCGGTTCCCATGAATAAGTGGTGGGATTGTATATTTGCATCGGTGGACATTCTTGGGAACAGGTGCCTTCGTCATAAAAGTTTCTGCATGCAAGGCATTGACTGGGCAAAGGCCCCGTGCAACCTCCGGCACAAAACGTGTTACAACAGTCTCGTGGGTTAGGCCCGAAGCAGCGACCCTGCGCGCATTGCGGACTGCAGTTTGTTTTCGAGAACTTTTGACAGTTTTCAGGCCCGTCACCCCAACAGCCGGCTTCGCAGCTGGGATGACAACGACATTCCCTTTCTTGGGCAGTAAACGTGTACACATAAACATAAGTTGCATTCACACCTGTTATTATTTCATCCCAATTTATAGTTTTAACATGACAGAGATTAAAATTATTGTATATCCCGACGCTTCCTCGCAGCACGTCTCTAAGCGCGGGCAGTTCAAGTGTAAAAGCTGACGACATTGTGACCATAAGTGCAAACTCTTCATCTCTTACATTTAATTTGAACAACGTCCGCCCTCGGATTATTTGCAATTGGGGTAAGATGATTTGGCGAACGTTAACATGTGAAATGAGTACATATCCAGTTACTTCCCTTATGTGTTTTAGAAACGATAAGTCCATCGTCTCATTATGGAGCCAGGTCAGTTCTAGATTACCGTCGACATACGTGCAGTTTGTGAAGCGATCTCTTAGATTTCTGTAGTGTGTGTCGCGGTTCGAGGGAACCGACATCCGCCCCTTTGTTCCGATGCATACTGTAAAGAGAAAAACATAACTTTTAATTCAATTAAAATGACTTATGTTGTACTTTCTTTATAGTAATTGCAAATAATACATTGAAATAGAACTAAAAAAAATTATGGAAATATATGCATAAAGTATGTGTTTTGTTGCGTCGATAGTTCTGACAAGTCGGGCAGTCCTCGCCCTAACGAAGAGGCGGTGAAGCGTGGGCGACCAGCAGAGCCAGTTTCATCTACTACGCTACACGTAACACCGCTATTCGTGACTGAACTATAGAAATAATTATATTATAATGAACTTTATTCGATTAAAAGGAACATATTTAAATTAAATTGGAAGATTTTTTGATTGAATATGCATCAAAAATGTTTTAAAAAGTTGCTTTAGTAAGTTTCATTTTTAAAAAACATTTTTGACAAAACTAATATTTAGTATTTTACTGGAATATCAAACGGAAGAACTTTGTCTTGAGTATACATTTGTTCCATTATCTAAAATCAGCATGTAGTTAAAAAAAAACTTGTATAGAACCTATAGAAATTCTTTATAAGTCGCAAGGTGGGTTTTATTTACCTGCTCCGGTAAATACAAAGGTTTTTTTTTTGTTAAGAGTATGGTTACGTTTATTGTGTAGTGTATTAAGACAACGAATAAGTTTTTAATTGTTTACACCACTCAAGTATTGGGTACTTATCTTGCCTACAAATTCGTACAAAATATTCCTGATTTAAGAAATCCTAAAGATTTAGTATGCAACTAAAAATGACATTTGAAGGTGTATTGCAGCGCGATATATTTACAAACATATTGCCATCCAAATCTATTAATTAATTTACAGTAATTGTTGTATTGGTAATCGGCTAACTTTCGATCTATCTTTCTTTCAATAATAGGCATCGAATTCAATTCATCAATGACACAGGAAAAAGAACTCCACGGAAAAGACCTATGTAGCTGAAGAATCAGCGCTCGTGGTGTTATAGTAGCACACGTGGTTAAGGTTCAATATGAGCTAACGATATAATTGGTAAATTTTACATTTCCTTCGTATAATGTTTTCACATACAATCAACATAAATGAAAGTTTACAAAACTGTCATTGTAAAGTACGTTCCGTTGCACACATTTTCGGCGAGGGCACCTCCCACGTTACATGGCCAAATTCAAATGTTCGATGGATAGTACGGGAAATGTTTGTGATTTATAACATTCGATTTTCGGTCGTGTGTTGTGTGGGTAGAAATCCGATGTCCGGTCGACCCAGATGTGACGAGATCACACTCGTGATATTATTCAAGTTAATGCGTCGCGCTTACTGACTTCGTACATTCCTGACACCTGTTTAACTTTATATTGTCCTAAAAACACTGTAAGCGACAAAATTTTATATGGAAAGTATAAATTAAATAAGTATTTTATAGAATGCTAGCTGTCGCCCGAGACTCCGTCTGCGAGGAATTAAAAAAAAAACATTATTAGTAGCCTATATGTTCCTCCAGACTGTGTTCTATATGTATGCCAAATTTCATCGAGGTCCATTTAGCCGGTCTGGAGATACCTTCAAACAACCGTCGATCCATCTAAACAATCGCATTTATAATATAAGTAAGATTAATTAAAGATGTTAAAATTATATTTTATGTCATAAAATGTTTAATAGTGCTTATCTAGGGGCGCGGCAGTGCCCCCACTGATGCTAACATGGCTGAACTACCCTTTCTCGCAGCTAGTTACAGTGCTTTTATACCCCTAATATTACTATGTAACTTTATGTGATCAAGTTACTATTAATTTTTATTTTTAAAATCTATTTAAAAAAGCTACCTCTATTGGCAAAGGGTAGGAACCAATTTGATAAAATTACACTTTATTTCAGGAGGTTGAACATTGGAACCCTGTTAATTCACATTTTCACCAATAGATGGCATTCCAAATAAAAATATTCAAGTCACATAAAAAAGAACTACATGTAGGCGGCTTGTATTGATGCTATGACATGAATGTCGACTTTCCTACCCATGTCACAACCGGGAAACTTTCCGTTTATTAATTAAAAAAACAAAAACAATTAACTTTCCGGCGTTTACATGATTCTGTATGAAATATTTTTACTCTAATGTTAACATTTTAATAATTATATTCCAATTGTCAAAAAGTTAGTGTTAAATTAATAAGTACTTAACTGTTTAACAAATTTGATAACTAATGGAATGGAATATTGAATAAGTTATGTTGTCCGAGGTCCTCCTTAGTCGATCTTTTAACGTGTGCCTCTATAAGTGTAAAGCTTGGCGACTGGTTTGTCTCAGGCCAATGTTTTTATCCAGTTACTTGCATTCTGAGGTATTGGAACCAGTTTTGTTCCACTACCATTTCATTCTCGTAACTCGACCTTTCACTACAATCTCTCATTGTGGTCCGTACCTTGTCGCGGCTAACGTAAGCTACCAATGTGAAAAGAATAAAAGCAGCATTGGACTCGAAACTGGAATTGATTTTCGAAAATTCATGAACAGTGACGGGTTTGGTTTAATTCACGTAGTAATAATATATCGCTTTATATTGCAACACTTCCAAAAATAAACTCCAGTAAAAGTTACCGTCACTTTATACCAAAATTCAAAAGTAAAGTATGTTAAAAATCTTGAATTATTGTGCTCATTTACTCAACCTTAAACATTAATTAAAGTAATAATAAAAATAGTATAATTTCGCTATTTATTCCCATATAGATAGTTTAAATGCTATGATTTTCGGATTAAAATATAGATAAAAATCTTTTACGAATATTTATGTCGCTGTTAACTTTAAATGCAATAAATCACTGTAGCAGTTTTAATTTAAAGTTTAAATGTATTCCAAACACACAGCACGGTTAAAGATATAGGATTTTATCTCTGTTGGTTTATTAAAATTTTATGCAGCCGTTTAAACAGGAATTATAAATTCTTTAATAAATCGCGCCTCAAACGATTGAACATTTGAAATTTAAATTAATGACAAGTCTAACTTAATTAACAAGAGAATTTTATCATAAAAGTCAATGTAAATTTTTGATTTTCGTTTTTTTCTGTTTATTTTTAGCTTAATTGCAAACATCCTGGATGTGATGTTAAAAATAAAATTCTTGGAACTTAATTTAATCTATATTAATGATATTATAAAATATATAATTTTTAAGCAACATTCATTTGTTTTTAGTTATGTCATAATAACTTAAGTTATATTCGGTATGATTTTTTAAATACACAAAAAAATAAATAACAAGAAAGCCTTTTAAAAAAGAGTAAATGAAAATTAATACGACATTCATAAGATATAGAATTAAATTAAGATTAAGGTTTCATCACATTAATTCATTAAAATATATTCATATTTAAATGTATCTTTTTCTAACGGATTCATCCATAACGGATGTTTGTGCCGGCATCTCTAAGCTACTATTCTCTTAACATTTTTATATCTATCTGGATTTATCGCGTAGTGATAAATATGTGTATAATAAGGAGCGTCGGTGGATCAGGGGTCGAGCACTCGATTTGCAATCTGCAGATCCTGGGTTCGAATCCCGCCGTATACCAATGTATTTTTCCATTTCTGATTTACATATGTACATTTATCCGACGTTCTTACGGTGAAGGAAAACATCGTGACAACCTGCACATATCTGAGCAGAAATTCAAAGTTTGAAGTCAACCAACCCGCACTTGGGCAGCGCCTAATCACCCTTAACTTAGACGACGTATAGAGAGCTGATGATGATGATAAATATGCCAATTCCATCAACCTTATACAGATCCGTTTCGTATTAGAAATAAACATATAAACTTGTCATATAACAAGTTACGATAAGTTTTTATAACTGCTATTAATATACTAAAATTTCCAGAACGTCTAAATTTCCATTTATTCATTTAAATAGGATCAGTAGTGATTTAAATATTTGTCATCCCGGATATTTGTGATGGAATTCCATTTTTTTTTTATAAATTCTAATGGTCACAAACGTGACAACAACGACCTCTGTCATCCTGTTGCATAAACGATTAATTTGATCAGACAGCCAAACAACAATGAAATATACTGACTCAAAATTTAATTTTTGATTTTTATTAATATTAATGAATTATACATATATATTACTATTTATAACTCAAGAACGGCTTTACCGATATGCTTGAAAATTTGTGAGGAGGTAGCCTAGAGCTAGGAGACGGACACAAGATACTATTTTTACATTTTTTTCGAATTTACACTAATTAAGTTTTTTATATATCCACGCGGACGAAGTCGCGGGCGACAGCTAGTATTATTGATATAAATTCCGTTGATATTGTTGATATTGTGTGAAGATTGCTTTATTAAAAGATGGAAATATGTTCACGCTTCTCAAATAACGTGCTTATTGTATTCTTATAAAGCCGCATAAGACCGAGAGTACATAACCGCGAAAGCGAACATTATGCTAAACGAACTTTTGATATGAAACTGGCATTAATTTGGTTTAATCTATAGATATATATTTTGTAACTAGGTTTAAAGGGTACCAAACCTAACAAGAAGTAAACTTTTCGTTTCATTTTTGTATTATTTTGATGTATTTTGATTTCTAGCTGCGTTTCCATTCGCTTTCGCGATTGTGTACTACAGGCTTTACAATAACCATGCAGGTCTCCTGATTCCTTAGAAATCGTATAGGCGTTGCGTTTTCGCATATGTAAAATAAAATACCTATATAAATGTAAATGGTAATAACATAGAATATAATAAATCGTTTTGTGTTGTACGAATCACGCGTTTATAAAAGCACGATGTGAATGCAGTTTTCCACTGTCACGTTTGCCACATTGCTATGCAATTCTATTCCTGGAAGTTAATACAAATCACACCAACCGTGATGCTTGTTTATACAAAATACAATAAATTCTATACATCGACTTTATTGTCATAGTTTAAAAACTACGGCTATCTTTTTTTAATTTTTAAGTGAGTAATTCTCGAGATCATCGAA